AGAGTGGTCAGAACTGCGCCTTCGTAGAGTACGAAAAGCCAGACCAGGCAGGTAGCGGAACACCGGAGCGGTGGAAGTGGACACCTGGTCCTATACAAGCGATGGGAACAGGCAGCAAAATAGGACAGGAAGGGGATTCACCAAAATGGATGGATTGCTGCAATGGGCGCCTGTCCGAAGCTATCGGATCCCTTGTGCAAAAACTGAACGGCAAATACCCTCTGGAAAATTAACATAGACCCTGAAAATGACCAATTTATAGTGGAAACTAGTCTTCCAACCCCTATCTGCCATGGTCTATGTTAATATACCAGGGGGTACAACCAGTGATTCTGATTTGGCGGCTAATAGTACTCGAGTGGTGATGTGCAACGGGATCCCAATGTTCAACGGTCAAGGCACATTGAATCCTCCAGCACTGCCTATGTTGTTTTCAAACATGAAATTTCAGAGGTATTTTCTGTAAAGTCAGCTCATCATCCAAATGATCTTGCCCAGACCATAATCAACCATCATGTCCACTAGATCCATATTATCCATATATTTTCCACTATATCCACAATATCCATGAAATATTCCACAATGTTCATTGTATCCATTACTATCCATAACACTATCCATTACTATCCATGTACTGCAGGCAGAGACAGCCATTCTGACATTGCATGAGAAGTATGAGATCAAGCCTGGTCGGGGAGCTTGGGAGGTGGTTCGTTTCTGCTTCAAGGTGGATCGTGTCTTGTGAAGACAGGTGGGAGGTGCCCGGGTTTCGTTGATATGGAAACCACGCTTCTTGGTTGAGAAAATCTGCAGGAAACCATGCTTTAATATGCTGGGTTTTTACCATCCAATATAGCGCAGAGTTTCCCATCCAACAAGAAAATTCCAGTTAGGATAGCCATTTATGGTCGTTAAAAACCTCCAATGAGGAAGCACGGGCGACTCTGTTGGAAGTAAATCAACGCATGTGGAGACCTATTCAGAAAAACAACGTTAGTCAATCACAGCATATGAATACATGTGATCTAGAGCCCCTCCCCCACAAAAAAAAGTAGAACAGTAAACTATCACACTACTTTAGGCTATGTTAATACGATTTTACCGTTCCATCTTCTTGGAGCAATATCCCAGTGACAAGGGCTTCTTCCTAGATTTCCTCGGATCCAACGTGAACAGCAGTGAACAGCAGTGAACAGCAGTTTGGTACGTTGCACAGATGAGTTAAGATTAGATACCATCCCATCCCATCTTCCTATTTCTAGAACTCCGCCAAATAGAAAATTAGGATTGGTGTGGCACTTCCAGTTTTTTTTGGTTGGGCGCAATTGGATTCTTAATTGTGGTAATTGAGAATCAATAGGAGAACAGGATGGTGAAACAATGGGTTCAACCCCCTAGGACTAAAAATAGATTGCCACCTGGAGGTTTTTTATTAGGGTCCCATCTCACAAGTTTCATTTTTTTAAATTATGGAATATTAGGGGAAAGCTTTAGGGGAAAGCTTCGAAATCCAGTTTTTGGCAATATTTCAAATAAAGGATTTAATCATATTTGAAATCGTGTTTTTTTATATTTGTTATTAAGGTTGTTCATTGGAATATCAGGGGCACCCTAATACAAAATACCCCTAATAATGAAAATAGATCACCGTGTTTACCATTTTTTGGGGGGTGTTTTAGCAATAGGGAGTAATCGGATTAGGCTGGTGTTCCCTAAAAAAGGGTTTCTATATCCTGAGATATCCCTAAGAAATCCATATCAAATCCAGGCTGGGATGATGATCCCGAGGAGCTACGAGTCATCTATAGTTACCTCAGTTGCATCTGCCACTTACTTATCAATATCAATCAGCTATTTCAAGTCTCAATCGCCATTGTTTTCAATATTTTGGTTGGTTACACTACCATCTTTCTTGTTGGCATCCCTGGTTGAAGGCGAAGATTTCGGAATTTCGAGTCTCGATGTCGCGAGGTGCTGGCACCATCCTGGTGAAGCGCGCGAAGAGTACAAGAGTTGGCCCCTACTGAGGCGGTCGCCTGAAGCGTCTGCGCTGGCGGCAGCGAAGAGTACTGGCTGCGTGAAGAGCACCGTTGGTGGATCTGCTTAGATGGCCATGGTTTGGTAGTATGTTTTTTTTTTGTAATTAGTCTTTAGCAATTACTAAGCAGATAGCTAGTCCCATTGCCCATCTTATCGAAAAACGACTGGACTTCTGGATTTCTGCTTTGTATATGATAGTGATAGTATATATAAATATATATAGATATAGATATAGACCTGAAAATCAGGGATATTGACCAATGGATTTAATGGACACATGGAGAATCATGGATATATTTAGTAACTATTAGAGTTAGATAGGCTACATTTGGTAACTACTGGACTCATGGCTCGCACAGGTTTAGCAAGGATGATATAACCACCTTAAGTTCTATAGTATTTATAATTCATCCATCATGTCTGGGTAAATTATAACGACCTCACTACGACCTCACTGGAAATCATGGTTAGTAAGGGGAATCATCCCCAAATGGCCTGAATTCAGATTAGTGAATTATTATAATTTGCCCAGAATCATGTAATTGAGGTGATTAACACCAAATTAACTATGGTTTATGGTAGATATAACTGTAGCTTTTTATGATGCTATAGCTGGCCTTCATGGGAGATATAGATACACATACGCTGCTGGGCTGCTGGGTGGACCCATTTATTGGTTGGAAATTTTCGACAGAGACACGGAATCAATGCTGATGTTTGGGGTTTCCCCAACTGTTGGTAGATGAAACAAACCACTGTAGATACCCTCTGGTAAACTAACATTTTGCAATGGAAAATCACAATTTTTAATGGGTAAGTCAACTATAAATGGCCATTTTCAATAGCTATGTTAAATGACCAGAGGGTATCTGGAACAAACCACTGTAAATATGTGACATTGACCGACGGACACATAGATATACCTGGTACAATGTGAACAGCAATACCAACAGAAAACATCGGAACATTCTAATCAGCCAACTGGTAAAGGGCCGGTGCAGATTTGTAACGATTGACCTTCTGCTGCAACATATGGGAAATTGATGCTGAGCTAAATAATTGTAGTTGTTCCCGCTGGGTATCTAAGCTTGGTCAACACATTCATATTTTAGAATGTTTCTATATTTGTTTTTTCTTCTGTTTGGCAAATTAACATAGCCATACAAAATGGCCCATGCGTAGATGACGTGCCGTTTTGAAAAACATGCGATTTGCCACAGCTATGTTGAATTACTAGAGGCTAATCGTTTGAATTTCGTAACCTCTGAGCGATTTTCTTCTGTGGCGATGCGGGAATTTGAAGGGACTGAATGCCATGTATTTGTTGTTTAAGTTCCCAAGGGCTGCTTTAAACCCTAATGCTTTCCGCATGCCCAAGCTTATCAGCATGATAATCCCCAACCCATGGCAAACAGATATTTAAACCGGGCCAAAACACACACGAACCTCTTATGTCTTGTGTGTATTGGACTTTATTGGACACACACACAATGCTTGGATTACTTTGACTTTGACCATTTACACGGGTGAAAACCATTGTGTTTTCAGAATGGTTTTTTTCTCAGGTGGTAACACATCCAAAACCCAATCTGAAAATATAGGTTTTGAAAGTTGCTGCCAGCGCCGACTGCTTCGAACACCATCCTGAAAAATGTTGGTCTCACTGGAAGCGCTTCCTTGTGACACCTCTGATATGGGAGAGGACCCCATAGGTCAATAGAGGCAAAGGCTCATGGATCCCAAGGATGGCCTTTTTTCGATGTGGAAATCAAACATGTTTTTGGGTTATCAAATCTTTGACCCCAGACCAGGCCCAACTGCTAAGGCTTGAAGAGTGCAGTGAAGAAATCGCCCTGCTGGGTGTGGCGGAGTTACAAGGCTTCACCCCGCGCCGAGTCGCGTATGCTGGTCGCGCGTGCCCAGAGAAGGCCGTGCTGCCAGGGAAGGGTTTTGACCACCGTCGAAGAGTGGAACAAAAAAGAGAGCGAGCTGGGATTGAGTGCCTCCAGAAGGATCAGGTTTCAGAGTATTGTGTTTGACCTCACCTAATAAAACCATGTATGGGCATTGGTCAAAAACTCTTCTATACCACTTTTGTTTGGGATTGACATACATGCAATAGCTATGTTGGGTTCATGAGAGTAAGGTATGGACCCATAGCCAGAAACATATCCCCATTTGATCCGCTGTTTGCCGATTGGGTACCGCCATGCATGGCGGTTATATTCCCAGTCATGCGGCCTCATCCCAAAGACCTGTGTGTGTTTGTACTTGCTATCGGTTTGTCAAAAGAAGCACCCAAGCTTGTCCTACCCCTCATTCTGTTGTGTGAATTTGTTTGTTCTCCTTAGATTCTGCTCCACTCTCTAATGATACAACATCATACAGCATCAAATCCACAGGCTCCGGTGTTTGTATTGCATGTGTTTGTCTTGTATATGTATGTAATGCAAGTAAATATACATATTTATTTTCTTATGTAGGAATATAATTTGGTCTTATGTTTATATGTAAAATAGTATATTGAATATTGTATACATGATTCATGATGATTCATGTATAATTACAGTACATGGGTGCATGTGTGTGTGCAAATCGCAGCCCCGACATTAATCAGGAAGGAACCCTTTGACTCGCTGCCACTAGCTCCATTGGGGGGCCACTATTGTTGGAGAGTGGGACAGGTACATCCTAACGTCGTTGGATTTTAAAGGGAATTACCAGTTGGAAATGAGGATTCTAGGTAGATATGCGTAGGCCAGATGGAAATTACACGGTCTCAGGGTACCCTTCTCATAAATATACAAATAAGTAAATAAATAGATAATGTAAGTTAATAAATCTGTAAATATATATATATATAGAGCTGTGAGGTGATCAGTAAACAGATTGGGATTCAACAGTCAAACACTATATTTTACATGACAACCATGGGGGGCGAATCAACCATCAAGGAGCGGAGCACCAACTTCGAATAGCGGGAGCTGTTCCAAGACGGAGGTCTCTTTGGCTGGTAGTTCAGAAAGGTGACGCTACGTCGTTCCAAAAATGATGACCATACGTACATGAACAGCTCTTTGGAAGCTCAACCAACTCCATCCGTAGCTCTGCGCGTGGTACTGATGACGGAGCAAACCAAAGCTGACAACTCCTGGTCGTCGTGGGCATCATGGACATGGACCCAGTTAAGTCACTGGGCGTTAGGGACTCGGGGTGGTGGTGGTGACTTGGTGTCGTCATCATTGTGCAGCCACAGCAATGGCAATGACCCGGTTTAGCATCACTCGCAGAGCTACGGGGAAAGAGTCTACAACATGGAAAATAAAGTGGATTGGAAAAGTGTTTACATATTTTGTGGAAATAATACACATAAAAAAACATATATATATAATATAATAATATATAATATATTAAATTTATATAAGATAATAAATAACATTTATCTATATATATAATATATATATAACATACTGTATTTAAAAAGGATATATACATATTATAGGTATACATAAATAAATATATATATATGTGGATTATGTTCTTTCCCAAATTTTGCTTGAAACAAAGCAAAAACCCAAAGAGTTGATCGAATGTGACGGGACCAGGGGCCATATCGACGCAATCATTTGGAGATTTGGAGATGGAACTTATGTGATATGTGACTTTTTTTTTTCAGGAGTGTTTGTTTCTCTCCTTTGTCCATTGGTATATAGTGGTCATTTGTTGGTTGCTAGTTGGTTAGGACCCATCAAAGTACCATCCCAATATATATATATATATTTATATATACTTCCTGGATCTATATGTATGATTATATATATATATATTTATATATACATATTCCGTTAAATAATAATGATATTCCATTATTCATTGATGGTGGATTTTGTACTTCGATGCGCACCAGGGAACAGGCCTGCAGCGCTCCTGCGCCAAGCGCTTTCAATGGCTTTGGGTGAGTGGACCCGGCTACCCTTGTGAAGACCAAAATGGCTGCTAAATGGATGTTAATGTTGATGGTAATATATGTTTTTCTCATTCCCACATGCTGCTGTTTTTCATCCTACTTGGGATGATAGCAACATCTTGCGGATTTTTCCACAATAGTCCACTCCCTCAAACCTATCAGGGATGGAATTTGACCACTGACCAGCCGCTGAGTTTGGTCATGCCCTCGGGTATTCTGGGTTTCATCTAAGTAGGCTCATGGTGAGACCGCTCGGAAGTGCCCACTTTTCGGCCGCTTGAGGTGATGAATCTTCGCCATTTTCCTTCATTTTGGGCAACAGCTCTTTGGCATCAGCTGGTGGTTTGGAAATTTGGAACCACTGCTTGGTAGTTTCGTTCATATTCGTTCAACCCAAATATGGGATGATGATTCCCAGTGACTCTCGTATTTTTTTCTCAGGAAGGTTGATCCCACCAGACTAGATCGGCTGAACGGACCACAAGAAGCTTCGACCCAATGGCGTTTTGTCGAACTGGTTTTGGCACATACCCAACTATAGACTATAGGGGTTGAACATGGAACCAGATCCCCTCCTGGTTTCTTGTTCCGCAAAGCATATTACTGCTTGCCCGTTTCACACTTCTGGTGGTGACTATCTTCCAAACCCATGAGACCAAACTTGAGTTGGAGGTTTTGTTGACAGTCCTGTCAGTCAAGTGATGGTCTACAAATAAACACACACATACACATAAATACATCTATACATATATTATATATATATACGTATATATAATTATGCATGTTTGGTTTCTTCTGTGCATCCCACCATTTAAATTGCAGCATCAATTTTTATCACTTGGAACTCCAATATACTCTAGCTAAGCCACTTACTCCGACTTGCTCGATTCAATTTCTCATGAAATCGTTGTTTCTATCACCATGAACTTGGTCTCTCAGATTCTATTCAACTCTTTGAGATTGTATTGACTGCAGTGATATGACATATATATATATATAATATCCCATTAGCATCCCAACATTGCCCACCCCCAACTTTCCAGTTATCACATGTTATCACTGGATATATAACCATAAAGACATAGAGGTTATATCCTAACTTAACGGTGATACCCAGCCCGAAAGAAGGCGTTGATATGGCCGTGCAGTACGGCCTGGATACCAGTTTCGGCTTCATCCAGACCGTTTGTGCCATCATCGGTGCCGTCAGTGTCACCAGCGCGGCCAAGAAGGCGTTGAGACTTGGACAAGGACGGCGTGGTGGCTGATGGACTTGGAACAAGTGGAAAGTTTATAACATTTAATATTGTATATATATTTATATATTTAATATTATATTTCAATATAATGTATTATATATATATGTGTAATATGTGATTTATATAAATAAATATATATAATTATATATATTTGTATAATCAATAAGATATAGAAAACACATGTTACGTAATATAAAAAGCAACAGATCAACAAAAACAATTCAGAATATCTAGCCAAACATCCGGTACATTCCAGGTGAGGGTATTGGACAGGGTTCATCCCACGCGTCGAGGTATCCCCAGGCACGGCCCGTGGAGCCTCTCTTCAACCGCTTGCGCTCGGAGGGGGGACCTCGCCTGTGGTCCCATCAACGCGTGAGGCATGGATTGGTTTGGCGGATGTGAATTCATGGGATACTACCCTCTGGTACACAAACATAGCGCTATTGAAAATGGCCATTTATAGTTTATTTACCCATTAGGAGAATGGTGATTTTCCATATTTATGTTAGTTTCCCAGAGGGTAACGAACAAGATGTGCATTGCACAACAATTCCCCCTGGTAATTGAACATAGCTATGGAACGCGATCCATTTTTTTGAATTACCTATCGTATTAAAGTGGTGATTTTCCATAGCTATGTTAAATTGCCAGAGGGTAGCTCCTTTTTAGTGTATGCACTGGAAGAGCCGATGTTTGGACTTCAAAAATTTGGTCCCTTTGGGCGAGTGATTCTTGAGCGGGTCCAACGTCAACGAACATTGTGTTGTTTTTCTTTGATGGTAATTGCAAATTAATTACTGTACCATGTCAACAAGTCAAGTGGGCACACAAATCAGAACAAGAGTTCTACGAGATGCGAACAAGATATGTGTAAGCCAGTCAGTGTAAGCACATGCGTTTTCACGTGGAGGAGCAGCAGACAATCAAGAAATGGAGAGAGATAGGGGATCAATCAAATATATACATGGTAAGAATACATAAGAATACGGTATCGATATGGTACTAGTTACTAGCATGGTACAATAATTTGGATAACCACTGTCCACCATTATACCATGAACTACCAAGTGAATATGTTTGTTTGTGCCACAATCAAGACCATCGCGCTTGGCTGATCTGCAGGTTCGCCGTAAATCCTTACAAGAACCTCAATCACAACAGGCCAGGGTTCAGCATTTGGATGTTGGGTTGGTGATTGAAGCTTGGCCTTGTAGTGAGATCCTTACTTTTACCGTCCTAATGGGCCACGTTCCATTAGTGTAGCCATGTTGAATCAGCAAAGGGTAGTCAGATGACACTCCAGAGATAATTCATCGAAATCTTGCATGCGCGCGTAGAGATATGCTGGTTTAAATTCAAAACATATATGATTATATTATATCATATATAAATACACAATTATACACATAATTATTTCATATACTACATTTACTACATTATATAATTATATATATATATGTATCCAGTTGCAAAGTGATGAATTGTGCAATCATTCTGTTCCTCAAAGGCTTCTATTTTTATCTTCCTGCCCCAACGCCAGGATTGTGATCCTGCAGGGGGAGACCCAATCGGGGAAGACCAACCTCCTGCGCCACGCCATCCCATGGTACCGTCGCTGGACCATTTGGCCGCTCTCCATGGTGTGCTGGCGAGGCATCTACATGAACGGCCTGAGCCTAGGATCACTGGGCACGGGGCGTTAAGGAAAACCGGGGGGGCATGGGATATTATTTGTCATGTGCACTATAAGGGATATTGTTTCAATTGCTGTCTATATCATTATTCTCATTACATTTGTCTAGATACATATATATATAATATTATACATAATTCATTATATAGATATGCGTCTCATTAACATTCATTAAATATGCCTAAATAATATGGATTTCAATATGCAAAGAATCATGTCCCGTTAGACTTAGACTGTGCTGACTTTGTCACAGGGAATCGAGTCGAGTAGCCGTGCTTCCAGTTTGACAGAATGGATGCCGCACTCGGATGGCCGAACACCTGGCCATTCTGACTGGATTTATTTCAAGGGCATCCCAACTGACATGAACGTTTTGATATGTACACACATATGACATGTATGTTGTATTATGCATATATCATATATCTATATGATAGTCTATATGCATTTATTATTTTGCAACAGGTGAAGGGTTTCGGAACGTCATGCAACCCATCGCTTCATGTTCGCCAATGTTTAAGCAAGACTGAGTTTTAGAAGGCTTGGCAGTAACCCCGTGTGTTTGATGGGAGAAGCACTGACTCCGCTGTCCGAGGTGGTGAGTCCCAACGAATGGATACCTTTCAGCAGCGCCTTGGACAGGTTTTGGAAGGGCTTTTTATGCAGTTTCCATCCATTGAAAAACATTAATCCATCCAGGTACTAAACATCACAGCCCAACATGTGGCCAATGACTTTTTCATTGATACCATGTTCGCTGAGTTGCGGGTTTGAGGGCCAATTTGAAGCAACCACCTGGTGCATGTTTCACCATTGAAACACCAAAGGTTGGCCACTGAAGTGGGATGCCCAGAGCTGCTTGATGCAGTTGCTTGTGGGGGGTTTCCTCAAATGGGGATCCCGAAAGCTATGCGTTTCAATACTAAAATAGTCTAATGACTTGGATGATTTGGGGGTACCTCCATGACTTTGGAAACCTTGATTTGCTTACCTTTGTTTTGCCATGCCAAGTTCAAAATGATCTCAGAAAACCATGGTTCTGAACCCGTTACCTTTCTATGTATACCATCTGGTTATTTAACATTGCCATGGAAAATGGCCCATTTTTAATAGGTAAACCATCTACAAATGGGCCATTGTCCATGGCTATGTTAAATATCCAGATTGTATCATAGTTTTTTTGTTGCTTGAATTTCTCCAATTCACATCGGTTGATATTTCATAAGCTCAGGGGAGGTCTCCAAGGCTTTCCTGTTTTTTTTCCAACAAATCAAGTTTTTTTTATTGCTCCTCTCCAATCAATTTTCACCTGTACGGTATGCATATATTTTTTGTTTGATGATTTTTGATGTTAAGATGTATGGTTTTTTGTAATATGTCCCACAGGTTGAAGATTGCACATGTATCTCCCGGAGCCGCACTTAGGTGGGTCACCTTCCAGATGTTTGGCACCAGCCACAGGGCCGGCTCTGAGATCAAACAGTGCAGCCTGACGTGAAATGGCTGTGGCCGTGCGGAAATCCATCAGTTAGATAGGCCATGTGGGAACCATCAGTTAGATAGATTTGGGAACCTAGGGCATGACCCCATGTGAGGAATTCGGTACGATATTTTTTGGGGATTCAGTCAAATACAATGCGGAGCAAATTATAGATAGATATAAGATATGCATCGATCTGAAGAGACACGCGGTTTATTTGCAATGATGTTTCGTTATATTTTTTGGGCTTGGTCTAATTATATAATTATTTGTGTTTCAATACGTGCTTTAATAATCATAACTATAGTGATTTTATCACTTAAATTGTGACTATTAATAGTGATATCTATACATTATATATATACAGTGATATCTATATATAATATTAACAGTGATATCTATATAGTTATATCTTTATATATAAATAATACTAATAATTAATAGTGATATCAATATAGTGATATATATATAATATTAATAGTGATATCTATATAGTGATATCTATATAGTGATATCTATATATATATATACATGTGTGTGTGTGTGTTGGGATTAGTTCTTCAATATTGTTGATATCCACCTATCATCTACCCAATGGTCATCCAACATAGCCATGGCACATTACCAATTTGTAGATGGTAATATCCCAGGTCCTATTCAATACGGAAATGTTACATGGAAAACGTATGATTATCAGAGAATATGTCCTATATATATATATTATAACTTCCAAAAGCCCATTATACCACCACTACTGTTGGTGAAGTCTCTGTTTTTCGTTGGTTAAAATGACCACACTGCTAGTCCAAGAAATAGGTGTGTGGGCCTATCGCCGGCAGCAGTGGCTCTGCCTGATGCTGGAGAAGCTGCGGGTGCCCTTTCCCTTGCTGCTGCCCAAGCCGGTCTTCATCATCGTGGACCAATTCGAAGAACTTCTGAAGAAACTTTGGCTGAGGGATGTTCATATCATGTAAACATAGATACATGCATATACCCCTTATTTACCCACATACATATATATATATACATTTGTTACATATATATATATATATATATGTATATGTTACACACACACATATATATATATATACATCGAACTTTAACTCAACCGTTTAGCCTTCAGTTTTGCATGGATTTGATAAACCAAAAACGCTATGCAATGTTATTCTATATAATGGGGAGAGCATTGGGATCGACAGTAAGAATTGGCTGATAAATTGCTGAAAACTGGCTGAACAATGCCTGGATGAATGTTCTACTGCATTGGGGTTGATTGAGGGGTCTATGTGCTTCAATCTCCAATTTCATTATTGGGTGAAGGATGGCTGAAGATGTGATGAGGTTGAGATATTTATGACCAACAGTATTTTGTGCCCACTTGATTCTTGTTGGTTTATAAAGACAACTGGCTATAGATATATTTGCCATAAAATCCGGGTAACTTGCCTAAAAACCGACATAGTATGTGCGTACATGTGCAGAAGTAGGTTTATATGTAAAAGCTTCAGCCAAGACCATGAAACCTGGTGGAATCAGTGATGATAAAGCTTCCGTTCTTGACTAGGCCACACACCCAGCCATAAACAATGTGCGTACATGGACGAGTATTACACATATGTATACCCATGCAATCAGACATCTGCAGTATATATATATAATATATATATATATACTGTATATAGAACACCAAAACAGTTTCGATTTATGTGTTTTTCCTTTTTGAGCTTGGGAGACGGATCGTTTGTAGTAAGCCGGTCATCATTTTGGAAACCAACATCCCATTGGCACAGCCTGTCAGGAGACATCCAGATCAGGCAATGGCTTGGGCTGATGCGCGTCCTGGATTTGCAGATGGAACTGTGTTTCAGGGAACAAACGCGATGAACACGGCCTTTGCATGTCCTTATGTCTTGCTCGCTTTCTGAACTTTGCAAGCTTTCATTCTGACTGTTTGTCATGTATCCTTGCATCCAGTAGCCCAAAAAAGATGTGCTACACCAGACAGATATTCTATGACGATGGAGGGGGAGAGAGAGAGAGAGAGATCCTATGACCCGGTCCTCAGACAAACCCAAGGATTTGCCACAATCATGGCCGCAACAACTATGCCCGAATCCTTTTTGTGGTGCCTTAGCTGGTGATGAAGCTGGCTGTCAAGATGTCAGGCCTGGTGGTTTCATAATCACGCTCCCCTTAATCCTATAGTTTCTACAGTAACCCCCCAGAAACTATTGTTTAACACCAAATGAAATCACATATGTGGGCCATACAATGGGGATGTTCATTATGAACAAGGGCTGGGATTACGTTGACGTGTTCTTCCCCTATAGGGGTCACCATTCCGATTGCATCCCCAGGGCCCCAAGGTGTTCATTTTGATGGCGATAATCATCTCCACAATTCAATATGTGGTCAACCCAATAAGAATCGTTTTTTAATAATGGTTGATAATGGTTAGTAGTGGCTAATACTAGTAATTTGTGACTTGTGATAGGATGTGATTAACAATGGTTATTAGTTATTTTAATATGATGATGAATGGATTTACCCTCCGGCACGCAAACATGGCTAACTGGATTTTCTCTTTCTAGATGGTTTTAGGATTTCCCAGCCAGTCATGTTTGCTTGTCCTATTGTACCCTATTGTATCAGCATTCAATCCCATTTCGCCTTCAGCTTGACCACTATCCCGACTCCCTGTCACCGAAGGGTAACCCAAGGTGAACTCGGATTACGGCGCTCAGAGTTTGTTGAACCTCGCCACCCACGGCTTGCAGTTTGAACGACACGCGTTGGCAGAAGTTTGTTTTTTTCCTACTTTTTCCTCAATGCGAAAGAAGCAGTTCATGTTACCCAGTAGGTCGGATACGAGAGGATATATACAAAACGAGGACATCCTTGTCTATATAACAAGTACTATAGGCCTTACTAGGCATTCTACTCACCAAACTTGCGCCGCTGCCCCCTTTGCTATTGCTGTGACAGGGCGCCCTCACTCTGAGGAATCCAGATGCAAAAGCCCACTGAAAGGTGGAGGTTGGCAGCATTGGATCGCAAGCTGCTCCAAAAGTGTCAACACAACGTCGGTTTGTACTGGCTGCTTGGACACACTCTGGCATTTATATATATTTATATACCGGAGGCAGCAGTTGTTTGACAGCAACTCGATTTTTTGTGTTGGCAAGTTTCTGTTCACTCGTTTAAATCCCCACGAAGTTGGCACTTCCAATCAATTACATAACATTGGACACAACTTCAATAACTAGGTTTCATGGTAGATACATCTATAGTTAGTTGGCCTTATAAAACTCAACTTACAACGTATAACGAATAATACTTCAAGTATACATCATTATACCCTCATTTTTGGTGTTGAAATTGCCATTTTGGATGGACAACACCAGTATTATTCCCCTTATTCCAGAAAAATGATATATATATATATATATGCATATGCGTTACTGTATGCATATATATATATATTGTACATATCATTGGATTGGTTCAAGGGAAAACCTACAGGAAACCATGTTTTTTACCATCAAAAATGGGGGTTGCCGTAAAATTTCCCTTAAACCAATCCAATGAACAATAGTGCCATGTTCATATATATATATATATGTATATATATATATATATATATCATACTCATCCATTATTCATCATTCCTCATATTAATATATATATATATATATACTCATCCTAATTATATTATGTTGGAATTATGTTGGATGTCGGCCAATTTAAAAATAAATAGGTAGTTGGAATATTTCGGGGGAGGTCGAAAACTGGTAGTTGGAATATGGTTTGCAGGGTCTTAAGCTGCTGTGGGGTTTGCGCGTGGTGTTCACAATTCCCTCAAAATATTCTATCTTCCTGGTTTGAAACAATATTCTATCTACTTTTTGGTGTTGTTTGATTTTTGTATTTTTCAAAATTTCTCCAGACCCGTGTCCAAAACTGGCTAAAAATGACTTAACAAAGACGAAAACCGTGTAAAAACTGAGGGTTTCGAAAATATTCCAACTATTTATTGTTATTTTGGAAAATCATTTTTGAAAATGTCCGATATTCTATCTACTCCAGGATGACTATATATATATATATATAATTATATATATACAGATGTCATTAATCATATTAATCATTCAGCATATTAATCATTCACCATGTTAAATTAAATCATTATTCATTCATAGCTATATACAACCATTTATATGTTATATCATTATCATAAGTGAATGCACCCATAATTATATATATATCATAAATATATACTGTACATTGTACATATTCCCGTTAAGGATTTACCCATTTCTGTCCCTGGCCATCCGTGGCCATCCGTGTCGTGTAACGGTCCTTTGAGGATGGCCAAGCAAAGGCTGAAGAGTGGCGCGTTGATGCCCAGCTTCTGGGACAGAGGGCGGTCACCGGGAAGAAAGACGGTTAAACATGGCTTAGGGGTTGGCAAAACTAAGAGGTTAATCATGGTTTATCATGCTTAATCATGGTTTATAATGGTTAATAATTGTTCATAATAATGGTTTACACTGTTTTAGAATGGTTTATAGTGGTTTATAACAGTTTAAAATGGTTAGTCATAGTTAGCTTCATCATAGTGAATAATGGTTGATCATGTTGAATCGTTGCTAATAAGTTGGTGTATAACTACGCTAACATGGATTCATGGTAGAGCAACATATATACATGGGCTTGTCAACCAATAAACAGTAAATTTGTTGAACCTCAATTGATTTGATGGATGTAGGACTGTTTTTTCTGGCGCAATGTGGGTAACACCGCCGATCTGAACTGTATGGAGGTAATCCTCCCAGTGGTTTGCTTCGAGTTTCAGAACAGGCAGTGGGCAGTGGTTAGCGTTCTTGACTAGAAGAACTGATCAGTACTGGCTGGGATGGCCTTCAAAGAGAAAGAAACCGTCAGCCGGTAAATGTCATCCACTTATCCCATGGTGGGTTTGTTGGGTTTGTTGGTCCATTAGCCAGCCATTGATGCCAAGTTTAGTTGGATTACCAGAGAATTGCCTCCTGCACCATTTGTAAACCAACATGGTTTGCTGGATAATTCACTTGTGTGACACACCCCTGCAATTTGAGATGGACTTCCAAGCTTTTAATGTCCAACAGGAACATCATATTCACTATCCATGTTTTTGGGTTCATGTTGAAATTCACAGCGGTAGGAAAATCATCTACCCTTTGGTGATCCAACATGCCAATAGAAAATGCCGAAATCACACTGCTTCTGAGGGGGATTGTTGTCAAGGGAGGAAATGTCAAGTCCATTATCAAATTCGTTCTCAGAAGGTATTTATATACAAATACTCCGCAGCTATCTCATGAGAAATAGCTACCTGATTTTTTTCGGTTAGGTTAGGTCACATTCACATGTCTGTTGGTACCCCTTCCCTTGGTTGAGTAGACTAGTTTTTTTTTGTGATGGGCTACACGTCAAGGAGTTTATGTGCAGGATATCCAAGATTGGCCCTGCGTGGTGGGTAGCATTGAGGTGAAACATTTCTATCAACCATCATAAAGCAAAACGTCATAAAATTCCCATGAATTCAATCAATCAGCCATTTAAATTTAAAAAAATAAATCCATAAACGAGCAATTAAAATCCCATAAGCTCCCACCAATAAACACTCAATTTCTCATTAATTTCCCATTTACTCCCCATCAAAATCTCATAAAATTCCTATTAGCCCCCCTTTAATTTCCCATGAGTTTCCCTTTCAATTCCAATCAAAATTCTATGAAATTTCCATTCGCTTCCCATTTACCATAGCCGTTTGGAGGTTTCCTAAAATAGGGGTAGCCCCAAATCATCCATTTATAGACGGATTTTCCATCAACAAAAACCATCCAGCTATTGGGTACCCCATTTATGGAAACCCATTTGGGTTCAGCCCTTAGGCGAAGTGGAACCATTCGCCCTGCAATCCAAGCAGCGCTGGGCACGGGACTTCGCCGTGCCCTTCCCCCAGTGGCCGCATCCCGAGTGGTTTCACTTGGAGCTGGTGGAGGCTGGGGTCAGCCAGATGTGGTAAGTTCAATGGCCATTTCAGGAACCAATTCATTGGAGGTACCTACCATATATAAGACCTATTTCTGCAGGGCTAAACTTCAGGAGGGAATATATCAGAAAATATGTCCAAAAATATGGTACAGTCCCCTGACATTCCCATTGATCAGTGATGGTTAGTGATGGGTGACTTACTGACTTGTCACCGACTTCTCACTGGTAATGTGCTTATGGCCCGAACTATCAGTGATAAGTCAGTAAGTCACCAGATTTATGGAATCATAAGCCCACAACCGTTTAGAACTGGTAAAGGGCCATAACTGTAGCGGCTGTTCGAAACCCCTATTCGTTATAATAGGGAGTTGTACTACCCATTGTTTGATATTTTGTGTTTTTGTTTTCCATGTATAAACATGTTTGAAAAATCTGGATAGAATTGATACATGATAGTTGGTTGATGATTAGTTTGGTGATTGTACTAACCAATAAATTAAGATAATTAAGGATACTTACAATCAATGAGGGGAATTTTGTTCTCAACCAACCAGTATGAAGAGACGACGGAGGGTTTTGAACACTTCAACCATCCAAAAGAGTGATTTTACCATAAAACATAGGGGACTTAACCAATGAACATGGTGCCTTGACTATGAAACATAAGGATCGAACCAACAAAAATGGTGGTACAATGACATAAGCAACGTGATTTCTGCGAACAAGTGGATTTAAGGATGAACATTACATGCTAAGAGAGGTTAAACAAACACATAAGATGAAGAGATACAAGCAATATACATACGTTTGGTGTGTGGTTTCAAATATGAAATTGTGTTCATCCATATCCATCATGACATGTTTGTTTTTTTTTGCAAGCCATCCATCAGATACTGTCTGGGTGACACTGGACTTACCGTTAATAAGGCTAACTAATCCAACATGGTTCTATACTGTATACAGCACAGGGGTTCCTCCATTGTTTCACAACCAACATTTTTTCATGATGCTACAATTTTGGCCGCCCCAGTCCTCATCGAACTACTTCGATATCTCCACCAAAAGTCCAAGCATTCGCCTAGTGAATTAAGCCAATATCAATCGATTCACTATTATTGATACTTTTTGGTTCTTGTTCATTATTCACCATAAATATAACCAACTGTCAATCATTATGAAACCCTTTTCGCAACTTGTGACACTGGTACAACCTGTGTCCCACCCCATGTTTTCCCAGGCCAAAAAGGAACTCCTCCAAGGCTTGTTTGCGCTCTTGCAGGTGGAGACCAGGCGGGTTTGTCGGGGCTTCCGGAGATTTCACCATCAAACATGCGGAGAACTGCCAAACATGGTGATTTATAAAGTCGAAAAGGATCTAACCTGCAAAACGAGTGTGATATTTTGCCAGCACAAATGTGTGATCTACCCAGCAAAAAAATATGTTTTGACCAGTAAAGAGTGAGATTTTGCTAACACAAAGGTGGATTTTGACGAAATAGCATGGTGGAAAAAAATGCTGGTAGCATGGGCCATAATTGTAGCGACTCTGATGGCCAACCTCAGTGACTATCCCATGAAGTCCTCAGCGTCGTCGGTAACTGTACAATATCCCTACGTGGGATGTATCCACATATATGTATATATATATATATAATCACATGTATTTATATACTGAGTTAATGAACTATAAATCCATGTTATCATTCTGATAATCCCCATGTCACTAAGAACCATGTATATATATATGTATATATATGTGTGTGTTCTGTTTATAGTCACTTAAAGTTACTTAATAAGGAATCCATTCATAACCCATTAGCTATAGCATTTTGGACCTCCGTTCCGCAGGTCTCCTTCGGAGAGCTTCCAACGGAGCATGGCCATGCTGGCACTGGTGCGGAGGGAGCTGGAACTGTTGGATTCCACGCAGCTCTTCGATACCAGCATGGCGGAGTGGGCCAGGAGAACCACCACCCGAGCATGCTGAGCTGATTGCTGGGCCAACGTTTATGGCCCGGTGTTTATGGAAACATCCATGAAAGGAATGCGGCTAGATTTCGTTATTGAAAAGAGAAAATTCCATGGAATATGGATGAAAATTGCTGAATTACTGGTAAATTCTCTAGATGTCTATTTTTCTGTGGCTATGTTGAGTTATCAGAGGGTAAATGCTGTTTGTTCATTGCAATCAACCAGAAAACATGGTGAAATTCTGGATACATCATGGGAGTTGACAATGAAAAGTGGCACTCAGTCAACAACAAGTTGCAATCAACCATCAAACATAGACGTATATTCAGCTAAAGATGGTGACCCAGACCTTGATTATATCATATTCTTATTAACTGGGATTCAACCGCTCACGATGCCTGGGATTCACATCCCATAAATGGATAGGGCACATGCCCAGCTATTGATTCCCAAAAGTCTATACTAGGAGGGATTGCTTGTGAAATGTCGACTCTGACGTCATGCTGCCACATGTGTTTGGCTGCACACTGCCATATTTTGTTGATCAATGTGCTTTTCTTGTCGCTCATAACATATATGTGTCTCGAACTGTTTGTTGCAACCTAGGGTTTATCATATATATATATGTATAATTATATATATTACATTATGTGGGGATTTTACACCAACAAGCATAACTATGAGGGCACCACCTTGTGGGCATATAGCCATGTATGTCTAAGTTCTACACAAGGTGGCTCGTGGTTTGAGAGCCACGGGCCAAGATCGGTCAAGACCTAAGACTACCAATTTGTCAATGCTACAGATCCAGGCCAACCTGTGATGGATAATTAAGTGTTTGTTGTTGTTGTTGTTGTTACTATTTTTTCATGCAATAATATTGTTTTTGTTTAACTACATATTCTCAGTGTTATCTATAGCTATGCGTGTTTTCCTCCTTCAGAGTATGCATGATTCGTTGCAACAAGGATCATGATCAACTCAGCATATTGCGAACCGCCTTTGTCCAGGATCTTGAGCAACGAAGGGTGTATGAAGGCTCCGGGACTGCGAAGGATTGAAGATGTTGGCGGACCTGCAGATGCTAGTCCTTCTAAGATTAAAGCAGAGCTATATATTGTTTTATAGTACGATGTTAGTAAGAGTACCGTTTGGTTTATTCCCGATACTTGAAGAATGTGATTGGTTTGTTGAAGGGACCGGGTACGTTTATGTTTCCTAGTGGTTAATTAGTAGAGTATTCAAAAGATGAACTGGAACTACAGCATGGTAGCATAATCGTATTATTTTGGTTATATATCGAATATTCTATACCAATGGGCTATATATACAATATAATATATTTACATATATATATATATATGCAATTATACATATATATGTTTGTGTGTTATATCAAACAAGTATTTGCCAAGAATCCAACAAGGTAACTGACAGCTTCCCCCTTGCGTTCCAGGTCCTGCTGACGCAGCAGGAAGCTCGGGTCGTTGCCAAGCACCTGCGGCGCTTGATGGGGTGCCTTATTGTGGCGCGCAGGATCTGCAGAGGTTTGGAGAGATCTTGGGGAAATCGAGGTTTAAATAGCCGATTTAACCCTGAAAAACCATGAGAGAATGGTGATTTGAACATCCAAAATCAAGGTTTTACAATGAAATATCGTGATTTAACTGATAATGTACCATCGAAAATTGCGATTTCCATCATTCATGGGGATTTCATTGTGTATATATATATAGTTACTAGGATATCGGGGTTAGCCATCAAAGATGAGGGATTCATTGTTGCGGAGGGATCTCATGCTGTATGTTGTTCCAGGATTTGGCAATCAAATATGGCAATTGAACATCGGCGAGCGATCTTTTTAGTAGACATTAGTAGACAAATCATCTACCATCTGGTTATTTAACATAGCCATGGAAAATCCCTCATAAATGGAAGTTTATAGCTGGGAAAATAATCTATAAATGGGCCATTTTCCATGGCTATGTTAAATAACAAGAGGGTACAACTGATGGATTGTTCATTGCGATAGGGTTTACAGAGAACATGATAGCTTTTGGAGAACGCTTTTGACAAGTTGAGATAGTCCATATAGTGACTCTTTGGGATGCAGTTTGTTCCACTTGGATGTTCGTACCAATGAACATCTTGGATTAGCTTAGGGACCTAAACCAAATTTGTGTTTTGCCAAGTTTTGCACCGTCACTTTGGAGGATTTCCCCTTTCAACGACCTAATATGACTGATACAGCATGCATTGGTAGGATGACCATCCCAATATGTTATGCGGCCATCATTGATTGCTGATGTTCTCATGAACCCCTTCTGCTTCCGCCTAATGTTAAATACCCCCAATCGAAACCCTGGCTTACTGTAATAATATTTAATCTCTACATTTTTGAGGGGATGCTTAATATGAACGGATGATGGGATTGTTCAATCACTTCCATTATATTCCCATGATATCCGTGTAATATGATATCACCATCATATTCCATTCTGCCACCAATTTTGATTGCTGAGTCCCCATGTTTCATAGCTTATGTATCTTTGGTTGCATGGCCTTTTGTCCCTTTTTTTGTCCCCTTCAAACGGGGTGCCAAATCCCGTTTGCCCTGCCAAGGCATCCCGTTGGCTTTTTCGGCCGAAGCAAAGCGCAGCTGGTACCTGGGTGGGTGAACTGGTGAACTGGTGAACCCGTCAACCCTGAACAAATAAAGTAACCTCCAAAAATAGATGCCGATAAGTTCTTTTCAGGGTGGTACTTCTATGATACTTACTATACTTACCTCATAGTTGTCAGGTTTCAATTTTGTCTATCTATTTTGGAGTTGCTATAGATCGTGGTTAATTAGGGTCCACAAGTGATAAAATTACTATTGACATTGGAAACACACCCTATTCATAAACCCGGGGTTTATTAATCCGGGGTTGACGGTCAATTTGATAACTCGCTGAAATATACCATACTCAGTTATGTTTGGGGTTATATAGCCCAATCAATCCTTTTAATATCTCTCAGAAACCAAAAAGAAATACTCCCGAAACGAAATCGTGATTTAAATTTAGCATTGGATCTATTTCTTTGCAGGTCTCGTACGGTCTCGTATTTCATATTATTGGGCAGAAGCAATTAATTATGAAGCAACCCCCAACATTCATAGAAAAATAGGACCCCTGGAAATCAAGCAGGTAAAAGCATCTTTTGGCACCCGTGTGATCCGTGAAGACGATGCTCAACATCTCAACGCAAACAAACATAGACCAATGATGGATGGCCATGTTGTTTTTTTAAGGCGTTCCATGCCTCTAGCTTCAGATGCAAGCATCTAGGAGTTTGATAAAGGCTTTGGGCATTGAAGGGGGAGGCAATGTGCAGCAGAATTTCTTGGGCACAAGACTTGGAAGAGTGAGAAACGACTGTCCCATCCCATTGTTCCACAACAGCAGAAAGAACGGCTAGGGCAGTAATGGAGATTGAGCCTGTATAGAGACTTATGAATATCCAAGCGCAAAAAGTACATTTTCCAGACACGATGTTCGGGGTTCCATCCCAAATTTAATGATTAATAATGATTGCATCCATCAAAGACCAAAGCCAAATAAAATACACCATAATTTGATCAGTTAATCATGTCACCAACATTTGTTTACGCATGGTTTGGGACAAATTCCCTCCAGTCACCTCTACCATGGGACCATGGCAGGTTTGGCTGCCGCAGACAGGCCTCCAAAGTTCGAGGCTGAGAAAAAAGAACGGGCACCGTGGCCTACTTGGAGGTGCTTTGTTTCAATTGTTTTTTTTTGTGCATTTTTAATGGGAATAAAAATGAATAATATATATATATATTCATGTTTTCCTCAAAACTTCTAAATACATATAAAGATACATGTATTTAAACAATGTACAGTGTGGATATGTTTTTGGTTGATAAATATCGCAATATGAATTGTAGATAAATTTGATTGTTGACCCAACTGGGTATCACATTTACCTGGTTGAAATCGCACGGCGCCGGTGGGCCTGAAGTGAGGCTTTTTTTGAAGCGACAGCGGTAATACAAACAGTATGAATAATTTGATGTTCAAGGTATTTATTGTGTGTTTTCAGGCTGATAATAGTTCAAACATGTGGGGTTTCCCTTCAATATCCTTGCACCCCCTAGTTATGTTTGTTGGTTTTTAACCCCCAGCAACTAGCTCACATGATCAAATGATATCTTACTATAAACCCTAGCAATCACCTAATGAACTAAAATCGTAAACCAACTCATACCAACTCATTATCATAAATAAGCTAATTTCAGCTCTAAATCCCAATGTTGGTTGTTTTTTAGTTGGTTGTGTTCCTTCTGGGTTTCGTGTGGTTCGGCGGGGCGATAGCGCACATTTACGAGCTTCAATAATAACTAGTTGATATTATGTTGAGCCCCAACAAAGCGAACCCGTTAAAAGTAAACCTAAGTGAAAAGGAGTAAAAATGGAACAGGCCCAATGAACCATGGATTCAGGAAGCTTGCGCACAACCTTTGGGGAACAAGCACAGTACAGAGATATTTGTGCACACAGCTCAAGCACAAGATGTCACTGCTAAACAGAGCGAGGAGTACGTGTTCTTAAGTCACATCATGATTTCATCCTGTACGTTCAAACCACCTTTGGGATTGGTCGGAAGGGTTGCTTGCTGAAGGAGGATCGAACCGCTCACTGAAGCAACCCCCACAGTGCCACAGCAACACCCAGTGAAACTTTGAGAGTACCGAATGACTGTTGAAAAGGAAACTCCTCATTCTGAATCAGTTTTTTTTCTTCTCTGTGCGGTCAGCAATCTATGTATTTCTCCCAGATTTTGACATACAGTAGAGTAGCCAGCACTTCTGATTCCGGGCTAGATAATTTCTTGCATGTCTATACATATTTTACTCAACAAACTGCTTTTGTCTTCCCTAATGAGCTTGAACAAGGGCATTGAGTTGAAATCAACTACAAGTGGGGCGTGATGGTTGTTTCTGTTTGTGTTTTTTCTTTGTGAGTTGTTTTTTGGGAACCCTTTTTTGAGAGACCCGTTTATACATTACATTGTATATATATATATACTATATGCGTATATGTATGTATATGTATATATACATTTTCATACGCAAACCAAGATTCCAAACAGGCTTGTTTCGGCAGGGAATCTAAGATTCCCCATGTATCGAAATGACTTGCGGGGATTTAAAATCAAAGTTGAACAATTTGGTTTTAAAAGACAAGAGGATTTAGTCAACATACATGCGGGAATTGCTATCGAGCAAACTCAGTATGGGTCCATGTTTGTTTGGCTTGGGAATGACTGTTTTGGCAAGTTGAAGCAAACCACTATTTTTGATACGCAATGTTTATGTTGATTTGGATTCCGTCCCAGTTGATGTATGAACGGAGTGTGTCATGTACGATTGAGATGATTGAGTTGTTTTTATCGTTCCATATCGGTCCTGGGTCAGCAGTACTCTTTTTTAAGAGTTCAATTTCTTATTTACAGATGGCCTTTATTTTTTTCCATTGGGAACCATTGGTAGGTTCCATGGGTAGTAAATTTCTCTATTGTTCACTTTCCCACGTTGGAGCGACAGTTCCACTGCTTTTGAGAGATGGTTCTGGCATGCAAAATAGTTCTGTGCTGGTCATATGCCAAGATCATCTCCCACTAGCTTGATGGCATGGTTCAAGCCACATACTGTTTGATTGCTGCATGATGGGTGCTTCATTAACAAAAATCATGTTTTGGAGTCGGATATGACAGGGCCAGCAGACGACATGAAGACATGAGAGTATACCGGTACACCGGCATAGTGCAAATACATGTGGTTCATCATGGTGGAGCATTGTTTCGATCTAGTCACCCTTGCTGCCTGCCGCGTTGCACACCTTCGTGATTTGGTTCTGCATCAGCAGCGGGGAAAGTGTAAGGCTTGGATCCCAAAGCAGCCTCTTCCCAGAAATGATGAAAGACAGAGGGAAAGAGAGAGAGAGAGAGAGAGAGATAGAGAGAGAGAGAGATAGAGAGAGATAGAGAGATAGAGAGAGAATAAATCTGCCAGACATGTCTTCAACGGTTTTTAATGGTGTCTAATCTAGAAAGTCCTATCTGTTATAACGGTGTGTTCGTCGCATGTGTTGCCAGCCATGCGTCCAATACAGCGCAGCTGTTGCCACTGCCGGCAGCAAAGTTGGCAAGTGACCCGATGGCGCCATGTGGTAATACTGGGAGATTACATAATTGATATTAATGGATATTAACTGATATTCATGGATATTGATGGATATTATATTAATGGAATTTAGTGGAATTTAATGGAATTTAATGCTGCCATTTAATGGAATTGAATGGAATTTACTGTAATGGGACAATGGGGATATAACTTGGGATATAATTGGGTACTTGGAGGATCATCATCCACGAATCGTAACTTAGCAAAGTCCCACGAATCGTGGGAAAAAAAAACCTGACAAATGGGGTTTTTGACCACGGTTACTAATAATGCAGTCACTAGGTGAGTTGATTTTTTAGCAAAGGAGGATTCAGGCTTCAAGTGAACTTTCTGGTGCGAATGCGATGGATCAAATGTCTACGCCATATACTACGGCTAGATGCTGGTTGGCAGTGTACGCTTTTATTTTTCAATAAGGGCGGGTAGGTTCAAGCGTTCAATGCACACAACAGTTCAGTCTATTGCCACGCCGCTACGCCCACTGCTCTTTCAATGCGCAGTTTCCATGACATGCCGCACGTTCATTTTGCATTCGCTGCAAGGCGGCTATTTTGTCCTCCCTCTTCGTAGCAAGCTGTACAAACAAAACCAAGGAAGCACGACCCACCCGGTATTGACTAGTGAAACCAATTGCTGAGAATTAGTTGCTGTCGATGTTCCAGTTCCAGCCGTCAGCTATTCTCAACTCATGAAATGGTATGGACCTGGATGATGGAGACAATGTGGATGGTTGGTTGGTCTAACCACCTAACTAAGTGGCTAGCCAGCCAATCAATTCACCCACTAGCTTAAAGCACATACACAATTGTCCCTTAAACATCAGGATTTGCCATTAATTACCATGTTGGAATACCGGAGGATATGCTTCACCGCCCCTTATTGATTAGGTCAGTGCATTCCTATAGATTTATTTGCTGGGCGTCAAGTTTCCTCTCTGCTTTGCTACTGGATTGATCATCGGTTTGATCTTTACGCTTTTCTCTCAACTTTCAAGATGGCAAGTCAGGCCGAGAGAAAGCAGAGGTGGGAGGCTAAAAAAGGCACAGAGATCACGTAGGAAGAAATGGACACCGTGACCTTGGATTTTGCTTCTCTGACCAACGAATGCAAGCAGAACGTCGGTGCCATTCTAAGGGGCATGCCACAGGAAAGCGGAAGCTTTTTCCAGCATTGGTTTTATGGCCTTTCCGTGGAAGACCAGTCCATTGTGATAAGTTGGGTTTTGGTGCCAACGATGGGAACCACTAAGAAGGTGGGGACCATGCCGAAGGCTGTGAGGGCCGTGGCACCCTGGTTCAGCTCGCTGAGAATGCTATCCAGGCAGCGAACGACAAGGATGATGCGCATGAGAAAGCTGCCACCGCTGCGAAGGCGAAGTCGACCACAAAAAGATCCGGAGCCAAGTGATGATTTAGGCAATCAGAGATCTAAGATGCCCTTAATTCACACCTATCAGCTATCTTGAAACGGTTTTGCATTGAAAAGAAAAACCGGTGCCGTCACCATTTGTTTTTTTCAACATCGTTTTTTTTGCTAGTTTGTTTGCCTCGCATTCCTTGTTTAAAAGCCAAGTTGGTCAAAACCCAAACATGCTACTTTCAGTGCGTGTACATGATTGAACCAAGTTTTTTTTTTTGGATGGTCAAACCCCAAGTTGAGATCATTAAATCCCAATATAATCCCAATTATATCCCATTAAATCCTCTTAAATCCCATGAAATCAGCATTTCTTCATGGTGAAAATCCATTAAAATCCCCAAACTTCACTAGTTTGCCCTGTTCCCTTGGATGATCCAGGTCGCGATCGCGAGACGATCCCGTCTTAGCGGAGCTCAACAAGGGTTCCTCCGCGACCCATGCGTTACGTTGCTGGGACGGAGGGGAGCGTTGGGTGACTTCACCAAGAAAAACCAAGCGGGATTTCATGGGATACAATGGGAAGATCATGATGTTTATAACCATTGTTATCATAATTAATTACACCATTATTATCATAATCATTATGACTGGTTGGTGCGCTTTGGAACATTTTTTCCATATGTTGGGAATAATAATCCCAACTGACTTTCATATTTTTCAGAGGGGTTGAAATTGGTTGAAACCACCAACTAGATAATCCGGATGAACTATAATGACCTCACTGTGTTGTGTTTTCTTATTGAAATATAGTAGGCATCATGGAAAAACCAGTCCGATTTTTTGCACCAACACATTTGTGACACATTTGTGATTGTCATCATGAGTTGTTCGCAGCTTTGGCATCACCGGGGCAAGTAAATTGAAGAGGGTGCATGTGTACCAGAAGTAAGTTAATAACCCGTCATGCTTGTTGATACGTCAAATATGTATATATATATATATAGTCATATACAGTTCTTTACACATATAGAAAATATACATTGTAAATATAGATGTATATTATATACATGTTTGTGCGTGTAAATTCGTTTATGTACACAATTTCCTACTGTTTTGTGTTTCTGTTTACATATTCAAAGTTGAAACATGCATTTTTACAAACACATGAGTTCGATGCATATGCATAGAAAAAGGGATGCTGTTGATGTTGGTAAGCATGTGTCACATCTAGACAGAGCATTATTTCCACATGAAATGGTCCAGCTTAGCAGTATACAAGTTGTGTATGTTTGCACACAGTACCCAGTGTTTGAGCATGTGTTGCAGTATTAGCATTGTTAATTATATTTTTTTCATGTTAGTTGCGCAGAGGAATTTACACATTTCACCTGTTCGAAAAACAACTTATGCATGTCATTGGGCCGGATAGCGCCTAGAAGTCTACACAGAGTCCTATTTTTGCAGTCCAACAAGTGTACAGTGTATATATGTACAAATTGGTTGATATTCCAAGATTCCCCCAATTTATCTTCACATATATACGCAGATATTATATTCGTTGGATTGGTTTAAGGGAAATTTGCATGAAACCCAATATTTAATGGTGAAAACCATGGTTTCCTCTAGATTTTCCCTTGTATAAACCAATCCAATGATATATAGAACAACATATATACTGGTTGGTGGTTTGGACTATTTTTTATTTTCCATATATTGGGAATAATCATCCCGACTGACTTTCATGTTTTTCAGAGGGGTTGAAACCACCAACCAGTATCATATTACGATCATATTATTCATATATTATTACTATCATTACCATATTACCATATTATTGCCATATTACCATCACTACTATTATCATAACTATTATCATAACTATTATCACTATTACCATCGTATTATTACACTGTACCCTTTGGTAAACTAACATAACTATGGAAAATCACCATTTTTAATGTGAAAATCCACTATAAATGGCCATTTTCAATAGCTATGTTAAATTACTAGAGGGTATAGTGTATGTCTCTCCATCCCAATGTTGAGTCCGGGCGCTGAGAACTCCAGGCAGGGTTGGAGCTTGCTGGGCGTCCCAGCCCCGGCTGGCCACGGCAGTGTTGGCAAATTTGTCATGGCACAAGGCTTTGGAGGTGCTTCAGGTGGGGATTGTTATTTTTTTTTGTGTGTAAAGAAAAGCTGAAAGGTGATTTGATTATGTGATCATGATGGGATTTGTTTGAACGTATTTCTATGAAAATTAAGAGGTGTTTTTTGTTTTTTGTTGGACAGGAGCATGAACATCTAGTGTATCAACCATGTTGATTACGTTTACTTTGGTTTTCGCATTTTACTTTCTATTTTATGTTTATTGTTTTTGGTTTCTGTTTGTTTTTGTTTCCCCTTTTTACTTTGATGGCGCTTGGTGACTTGATGGATGTACCGCAATTATGCCCTCTGGTCTTTTCTTTTACATACCTACCGGAAATCACAACTTCTATCGGTAAATCATCTAGAAATGGGCCAATTTCCATAGCTTTGTTCAGTTAGAAAAGAGTAATGCTGAAAACGACCAGCCTGTTGTGCGTCCAGTGTTACCTTAAAATTCCGACGTAGCACTTGAATTCGTGAAGGAGCAAGCTATTGATATTGTTTGGTCATATATATATATATATATGTGTGTGTGTGTGTGCGTGTGTGTATAATGCATGTACATAGATGAGATAACACCAGCTAGGAGACACTAAGAGGTACCAAGGGGTTGATCCTGTTTAATTATTGCAAGCAGCATCTGAACACACATTATGAATCAATGATCAACTGGAGATTCATTGGCGAAAGAATGAGGGATATCACAAAGTGAACATGGATGAGGTAACCCTATCGACCTGTCAAAATGGAGACTTTTCGAGCAGAGAAACTGTTTCACGAGTTGCTGGAAAAAAATAAACCCCATTCTCTATTATTTAGCCAATTCAAACCGCTTGCAAAAATGCATGAAATCAGATGAAATGAACTGAACCGCACTGATTCGAATTGAATTGACATAAGTGAACTGATTAAGCAATGTATCAGAAAGATGTCATCCCTTCACCAGGCCATGCTGGAGCTGCAGATGCGAATCAATGAGTTTCACTGCAACGCTGTGCTGAAGGCGCCGCTGGAACCACCCAAAAATATGATTGGTAGGCAAGATGAACAGCACTGAACAGCCAAACAAATGCATTTGGAGATAGTTGGAAGATGATGATTGTGATGGTTTTCATCTGATCTATGCGTGGATATTTGTGTGGCACATTTGGAACCCGGAAAAGGATGGAAAAGATGGGTTGAGCAAACACTTATCTTTAAAAGACTTGGACGACTTATCTAATTTGTAATGAATTGTTCTACATGGATAGATATTGCGTTTGTAGTGGTTGCTTGCACTGGAAACCCAGCCCAGTGACGCGTCCAGCCCTGGTGGAATATTCTTCATGCCATTCCTTCAACTAGCATAGAACCTGCCAAAAAAGGAGTTGGAATGCCATTTTTCTCTAAACATGCGCGGATTCTCAGGGTCCATCGTAGTTTGCAGGATTCTCATTCCATCAAAGAAAGCCATGCAATTTCTATCAAAATCACCATTCTGGTTGGTTAACCCACAATTTTCAGACCATCGCCCACCCGAAAAAAACAACACGTTTTCCATGCCGAAGGCCAGTCCTTGGCATCAACAAGGTGCCCTTTTGAATCGGATGGCCCAGGCTCAGCTACAGCAGGACTGGACCCACCCGCCCTGTGTGGTGGAAGTTGGGCCCGAACTCCATGGACCTGAACACCAGCCCTCGCCAGCTCCGGATGCGTTTTTTAGGGCGCGTGCACCCAAACACGTGCCAGAGAGAATGCCAAAAAGAATGTCAGAATGAGTAGATGCCTGATATATGATATAATGCCAGAATGAATGCCTGAAAAGATGCCAGAAAGAATGTCAGAGATTATGCCAGATGGAATGCCCGAAAGAATGTCAGAATAGATGTCAGAAAGAATGTCAAGAATATATGCCAGATAGAACTTTTGACATAGACCTGCAGTTGATTACTTCTCGGTATGGCATTTAGCAACCTATTTTGATAGCACCAGCTTTCCATACCATAAGGCGAGGTGTTTGCGAATTAGCCAAGTGGGAAAAAGAGGGCTGTGTTTGGTTGCACACTTGGGATCTGAACAGTTGTCTAAAATGCCACGGTGGGGGTCACCCGAAATAACGTAATTCATTTTCTCCTCACCTAATATGGCAATGGTTTGGCTTTGCAGTTTTTCATTTCCAAGGGAAAATCATCAGAAACTGCAGCGTTTTTAGCAGAAATAAAGAAGCGGTGGGGCTTTCCTGTTGTATTTTTTTGGACATCAAGTCCAGGAACGCGGTTGAGTTCTGAGTGAAAACCAGCCTTGATTTTTGGAAGTTGGTGGGATCACTTGTTGGGGTCATACAACCGGTTGGAGGGGAAATGTTGCTTATGTTGAGTCCCTTGTTCGTATTTTTCTTTGAAGGTTGGAAGCGCCAACCGCTCCAAATCCACACCCAGATCTCGTGCCTCAGCGGATGCGAAGGACCAAGTGAGCCTCACTTCTGGCATGACTTCAGAGATCCCGTGGCCTACAGCCATGGGCCGGTTAGAGGCGCCATGGGGCCAGAAGTGGAGGAACATGTGCAGGAATCCGCATTAGGGGAAGAAAACCGTTGAAACCAAAGCTACTCCATTGAATGATGTTTTTTGCACATGTTTACAGGTCTAGTTGTCAAGACCTTTTTTTTTGTAGCAGGGATCGGAGGTGCACAGTATTCAAACTATGTAGATATATATATATATATACATGTATATATTTATTTATTTATTTATTTATTTATTTATTTAATGATTATAGCCAGGGGACATTGGGACATGTTTGAAGCCGGGGACGACCTGCCCGGGCTCCAGATCATGAAGCGCCAGCACATCCAATGCGAAACCTGGATGCAAACGGTAGAGCTGGCCAGAGCCGACAAGAGCTGGCCTGGCTGGTCACATGTAAACCACTCTGTAAAAGATGCACCAACAGGTTATATACATAATGATGTAGTCAATCGAGACAAGATGCACCAACATATATGATGATATATACACCCTTGTTCATTCATATTGATGTATATATAATTGTGTTCACCCAAATTTATCATAGGCTTCATCATTTGAACATGAGCATAAGCGCTATGACTAGCTGTATGTTGCCAACATATCCTGAGTGATTCACGTGGAACTGAGACAAGGGAGGTTCCAGTGCAGAAGGGAGCGGTTGGGAGCTATAGGTACCCATGGGCATCCAATTCCAAAGGTGCCAGTCTGATATCGGGATTGATCCATTGTTAATCCATGTTAATCCCATCCCCCTAAGATTTGCCGGGAATTGGTGACACGTGTGCGAGTACAGGGAAGGATTGCCTATATTTACATCCTAATTCCATGGTTGAGGGATATACATGTACATATATATATATATAAATCCTTTTCACGATTCGTGCGCTGTTAAACCATCATTTTTGACGGGGAAACCTTTATGAATAGGGAGAAAGGATATATATTCGATCCCATTTAACCGTTAATTCACCACCATTGTTGATGGCTAAATCCTGATTTCTGATGGTCAACTCGCACTTGTCCACGATATGTCATGATTGAATCTCATAAAATCAGCATTTTTCATCGTTAAATCATGTTAAATCCCCAATTTCCCAGGGTTTAATCCACAAGCCGCGGTGCTTGGACGCTTGGACTGAGGACGTCCTGGCGTTCGGAGCCCTGCTGACGGCCAGCAAGAGAAGTTGGCAAACGGCGCTGCAAATCTTAGGGTTCATGCAGTCTCCAGAGCCTTGGAAATCGCCTTGGTTTGTAGTGGTGATGGTGATTCCTGGATGGTGAGGCGATAACCATCTTAAGGATGGGATAATGATGAAGATAGGAATGGGATGATCATAGGATATGAATTGGTTTTCCCATATATAAACAATTTGGGATTTCTGACCCTCGTCCAACATTCCATACTTGGATGTGCATCCTGGTCACTAAGCGGATGATGAACGCGTATCTATCACCCACATTTAGCTGGGGATTGGGGTTATCGCGTAGTTAAACTGGGTTACACCCATGGTCGCCAGCCACTTACTAAGTGGAATGCCCACCCGAGTAGAGATACATACGAGATGGTACTTCATACTTAGCTAATCTTAGCTACATTTGTTCATAACTTCTATGGCCAGGGTTTATAGTAGAACGCAGTAGGTGTGCCTATAGTCGATGGTCACGAACCAACTTATAACTGGGGCGGCACCATTTTGTACAAGTATATCAAAATATCCCACTAAAAAGACTATATGCTTGCTATACCACCATTTGTATTTGTTATACAATTCCTCATTATATATTCCTATGTCATTATCATTCCTATAATATTCCAAGACACGGTACCAGAAACCTGACGTTTGCGTCCCAGGATGTGGTCAGCTTCTCTGCAGGCATTGCAGCCACCGGTGTCACGCACGAGTCGTGGCGTTTGGGGCTGCAGCTGTGCCGCCAGATGAATGCTAAGAAGGCGGGACACACGAAGCTGCGAGCATATCAAAAAGAGATTCCTTTGGGGATTACCCCATGGATCATTTTTGGCTAGCAACATCTAGTAGACATAGTTAAACCATCGCATACCTCGTTTTATAAATGGTTGAATCCAGGAATCGGGGACTTGATAACTGGGGTCAGTAGCCACTTACGATCTGTGGGATGATCCTCCAAGTAGCCTCTTCTCTCTGAAAGTCACCATGTGTATCCATTTCATCCGTTTATAGAACGTGATTTTTGAATGGGTTCTTTAAAAGGAACCAGTGAAAGAAGAGATTCATTCGACATCAGTTTGGACAAAATATGTTGTAATTAAAATTCATTGAGAACAAAACGTTGGTAAGGTGCTGGGTTAATCATAACTTGAAATTGTCTCGTCTTTGGCAGGTGATGATGAACTCAATCACATTGACCTCGCTCCTGACTGCTTGTGAACCAGGACCATTTCTTTTGATGTTCCATGATATTCCCACAGAAAAAGGCCTGACGGGTAGCTCCAACCTATTCCCTACGCACAAAGAGGCTCCTTGGTAAAAGTGAACTTGAATGTTTGGGGCGTGTCATGATCGAAACCTTGGTGCTTATAGTTGAACTATAGTGAATGGTCAATGACAAGCCTGTAATTCCAGGCCTTCAGTACAGAAGACAAGAGTATTGAGCAGTTATTCAAGGTTCACAGGATTGGCTTTGCTGACGGAGTTCTACTTGCAAGCCATCGTGGTATTATTTTTTGTTTGGTCTAAATCTCAACGGTTCAATTTATGCACTGTGATGTGATATTATCATTGCTCGCTGCTAAAATTCTTGGAGAACTAATGTGAAACACGCAGGCTGCATTCAAAGCTTTTGCCAATAAACAACATGGGAACCGGTAGTACCTGTACCGAGAGAAAATATGGGGATGCAACGCAGAAAAGCTGGTTGAAGCAGCCAGTGTTTGCTCTATGTTATTTTTCTGGAATTGGAAGCATATGTTTTTGTTTCGCAATTGGGACCCTATATAACGTTGTTTCGCACACGAACTGCTTGGTGGTCAACTAAAGCATCCCATACCATCCATGTATTTGGGCAAATTTATTCTGTTCCTAGGGTATTGTCATTGTTGCATTATATAAGTACTGGGGAGACCCTGGATGAGTAGTTTACTGCAACTTGTTTTTTGTTCCTTTTCATAGTGGTGATGTATATAATTAACTATAAATTAAAAACATGAATGTATATATATATATATATATATAGATACAGTAAGAGATAATTAAGTATAGATTGGCCAGCCAGGGAAAAAGGGAACATGCAGGGGGCCCAATCTAAGATTGTCATGTTCAAGCATTCTGAACAAAAAGGACAACAAAAAACATCACATACATGTTACATGTTATATATATATAATCAAATGTATATATATATATGCAGTTATATGTATATATATATATATATGCAAAATGCAGACATATCTAAATATGAACATTGGGGGTTTTTAATCTCCACGTTGCGTGAAATCCCGCGGCTGGCGTGTGCCGAAGCAGCTGGGGCAGTAGGACAGTGCTGGGAGATTGCCCTGGAGCAGCTGCGGCTCGGCTCGGAATGCTTACCGCTTGGAGGCATCATCCTGAGGATGTACATATATTAAATTTATTATATACATAGATTTATTTATACATACTATATATTTGTTCTAATATAGAATTTAGATTGACTTAGTTTATATCGGATTTATTACTAGTGATGTGCTTATACTTACATTTTATCATCAGTAGTTTATAATCGACATTCATATATAAACAATAACAGCTATAGTTTTTGGTTTTTGTTGTTTATATGTATACGTGCGTGTCATTCTATATGCATACGGTCACATCGAATCCCATTAGCTCCCCGACAAAAGTGGAACAAAAGGTGCTACCGACGCTGTCAATCACAACGCCCCTCAATGGATGTCGAATGACTTGGAGAGAGGTCTTTATTTCTGGTGACACATGCCTGATGCACCACTGTTTGCGATGTTCCAAGGATGGGACACAGAAACATCTCTAATCACTTTCAATAATTTGCTTGCTTTGCAGCCACGGTCTCTTGTGACTCTTGTTCCAACTTTTCGGTTATGTACATCCCTGTCATCCCAGATCAATGCGGGATTGGTAAGACCTTACCCCCTGGGATTTTTTACATCATGTACGTATCTACCCTCCGCTATGGAAGATGACTCATTCACACAGTTTGATGATTCACCAAGTAAAAATGTCTTTTATTATCCATAGCAACTATATAGTTTGTAATTACCTCAGGATACATGTACCAATACTATATATACATGCATGTATACATGTCATTATAGATTTATGATTATATTCCGTAAATCCATTTTATGTTTTGATGTATTTATATATATATATAGAGCATATATATATATATATTTATTTACACCTGATATTTGATCTGGTTGGTGGTTTGGAACATGTGTATTTTTTTCATATATTGGGAATTTCATCATGCCAACTGACGAACTCATATTTTTCAGAAGGGTAGGTCTACCACCAACCAGTGATATAATGTATCATGTATAGCTACAAATGATCGCGAAGTTTTCCCTTCACGCCAGGCACCTCAGCCAGCTGCAGCGTTTGCAGCTCGGCGCCGTGGCGAGCAACGCCGCCATGGGGCCCTTGGGCACAGTGGGGCGCTGGCAGCAGGTGCTGAGGCTGGCGATGATCAGGCCGGGGCAAGCTGGGGGAGCTAAGGCATGATTTATCATAGCTTTAGACGGCTATAGAGTGTGTATATTATATATTACATCTTTCTATCTATCTATCTATCTATCTACCTACCTATCTATCTATCTATCTATCTATCTATCTGTATATATATATATGGGATTTAATATAGTTATGCTTTAATGGGATTTAGTATGATTTGGTGGGATTGATCATATCCAGAAATCGTGATTTAATGGGAGTTAATGGGATCTGATGGTGATTTAATGATGATATTTGCCCTCTGGTTATTTAAGAGTTTGCGATCTGGAATATAGGGATTTAATGAGGATATACTGAACTATTCATGCTTTCTGCTAGTGGAATATTGATGAATATCGTGCCCTCCGGTTTCAACATAGCCATGGAAGCAATGGCCCGTTTAGTTTGATGTGAGTAAAGCAATAGGACCCACGAGAATTTACAGGAAAATCACTGACACAACTAGTGTTTGTGATACATCTATCAAACTAGTTATAATGGTGGTTAAAAAACAACAAACATAACTGGCTGGCACGATCTTGTGGGATTGGATTGTGAGTGCAAATCAGGAGAAAACTCGGCACACCATAGAAAAACAGGGATTTCACCACCAAGTGCCATCACAAACGATGTAGACTATGGTTGATTATGTATTAACCAAAACCGATATGTAAAGTGCTTAGCGACTCTGCGGCGAATGCCACATCACACCCAAGTATAATTTCTCACTTTAACCAGCCAAAAAGGTCAGATTAGATTCTTAGACTTTTAACATGTGTTCTTAAATTATGGGGGTTCAACCATTCTTCATGCTTCATGGTGCTTAGTGAGCCATTCAATAGCCCAAAAGAAATGGGGCGATCGAGGCCAGACACAGTGAGCTGGTCCCTGGCCGTGAATGCTTGTCCCTCGGCCTATGGCCATTGGTTGCCCTGGCGAGTTTCTCCCAGTGTCTATGGAAATTTTGAAACATGAGCTGCGAGTTCCACAACTTGATTTTCACCATATTGGCGAAAAAATTAAACAGGTTGCCAGGAAAAATTGGCATGAACGGCTCCACTCCGATAGACATCCGAAATATGGGGGTCATTCGTTCCCACTATGTATATTTATACATCTATTTTGTTGAAGCCGCCCTCCGGCCCTTTCACTTCTGACATGTTTCTTTGTTTTGGCAGGTTAGGTACTGGGATGATCCCTGCAGATGGCTTAAATGCTTGGTGGTTAGGGTGCAGCCCGTTGTGCATCTCTGAACTGAAAGGAACCCTGCAACTGAGCCTCAAACCGTCTCACGCCATTTTACCATTACATGTTTGAACATCACAAGAGGCCTCGTTAAAAAAAACAAGTTGTCGAACTTATTTTTTCTCTAAGGCTAAGGTGTTAAACTGTTAAATCCCAGAATAAACAAACCTTTGGGTATGGTTTTCAATGCCCACACAAGTTATATATATTATATTGGGTATAGTAACAGGATCAGATTATCGGTTTGGTGCTTTGCTTGTTGTTCCCATCCTGCATGCTATAGTGATTGATATTACTTCTTAATATTACTTGGTCGTTTTTGCTTAGTCTTATATTCCAATATCTCAAGGATATCCCATTGGGTATGTAGACCTGGAGGTATATCCCCTGGATCATCAGGATCCTGATCTTAGGTAGCGCGTCCAACGTTTGGGCAGAGGCCCTGCAGCTGGCAGCAGAGGGAGGATCTCTGGATGCTGCGGTGGCTGCGTGCGAGCGTGTGCGCAGATGGCAGTGGGGCAACTCAGATCGACCGGCCATTTTTCCGACAAATGTTTGGAGCCACGGAACCGGAAAGGTGTGATTTATACCTTTCTTGAAATGATTCGGACCTACAGATTTTAACTTATAATACAAAATACTACAAAGATGTACTGTAAATCCGCCTAGCCGGTAACTGGTCTGAAACCCACGGAGTATCCCAGCAACAGAGGGTACTGCTGCAAATTTTTACATACTTGAAATCCACAAGCAAGCTTCACCCCAAAACCAGTTAGCTGTTGGAGAGTTATCCCTCAAGGAGCGTAGTTTAGTTTGTTTCTTTTTGATTTGCCTGGGAAGATAGGAGGAATGGTCACGAAAGCTTGTTAGGATTGCTCCGATTGATTGTTCCTTCGTCAAAGCAAATGGACTGCCGCACACATTTAAATTTATAAGCAATAAAGGTACATGTCTATGGGCAGAAAAGAAACAACTCAACTTGATCACCGTTTCCCTCTCAAAACGGAACTAATTAACCGTCTGGTAATTTCACTTGTATCCATGTGTAGGTGATTTAGCCATTAAAAATTACCATCTCCCATGGCAAACTATAATTAATTTACCAAACAGGCCTGCCGTAGCCTGAAGATGGTCACCAGGCTCTTGGTGTAAGAGATGGATGTAGTATCCCATAGATGGATATAATATCCCTTCCACATACTTTTGCAGCAGAGGTACAATTGTTTTGTTTCCCTTTCTCCAGCACCAACATGATTGCGCCCGGGTGCCTGGCTACACCCAGGTTGGCTTTGGGCATGTTGATGGGTCGAAAATCTACAGCCAAGCCTTCTCCTGAATCTTGGTCCTACAGGGCGGTCGGCATTGTATTGACGGCCACTAGCCATCGTTACCATCCGCGGATGGAAATGTCTTTGGACCGTTTCAAGTTACCACCTTGAAGCAAATGTTTGGAGCCATCTACATGTTGACCCATGTTGAACCACTGTGCTCATAGGTGTCAGAAAGTCATCCCCAATAATAAACCTACCATTTGGGGATGGTTTATACCACCTATTTATGGTGAACGTATAGAGTTTCCAAGCACTGCCACAGCCTGAGGCAAGCGTTGCCCGAGAGGCCTGGGCCTTGTCCAAAGATCCGGCAGTGGCCAGGCGGGAAATCTGCAAGATGGGGATTTAACGGGTAGGAATGTGGATTCTAAATGACATTGTATGACTTGACTATACATTGATAGTTGTATAGTATGTATAGTATAGTATATAGTATATATATATAAACATATAATATAACGTAATATATATATAATAGTTATCCCTAACCTTATAGTTATAGTAGGTTGTACAATTATTCCAAAACTATTGTCAGGCTTGACAAACTTTGCTGACTGCAAGTTTTCAGCTGCATATTGGGATCTTAGCAAAGTTAGCAAAGTTAACACATCAACTATCCACTACATATAATATATATATATAATATATTGCATCACTATATACTTATCCCAACAAATATCGAACATTTAGATCTTGCCAAAATAATGAGTATCTAGTTTTTGCTACGGGATCTTTTTGGGGATGACTATAAGCCTTGCTGAGTGGAAGTTTTAATCAGGATGTTGGGAAGTTAACAAAGGTAACACATCAACTAATGACCGAAAATGGATGATTTGAGATATTGGATAATTACTCAGCATACTACATTAATCATCCAAATGTAGGATGATAAATGATGGATAGTTTAAGGTCGCCCATGTCCACATGAGCAGATGAGGGTGTAACTCAGCTCAAAGGGACAATGGGTGATGCATGGTGAAAATCCAATCGTCCTCCTTCCTTAAGACATTGGGAAGTCAACCGGCCAGACAATTTATGGCATAATGGTTGGTATTAGGCAATAAATGGTCAGGATATCAACGACAAAGATTTGGATGTTTAGGTATACGTTAACGGGTGGAAAATGGAAATCCAAGGCAGTAGATGGTGAAAATAGTGAGTCAATAAGTTTGCAATTTTTACTGTTCCGATTTTTTTGAGATCACTACAGCTGCAAGCTGCATAGGAGCCTTTTTCGGCTCGTATCCGTGGGGCCGATTTTTGGGGGCTTGCTTGCTCCAGCACCCCACGGGGTATGTCCCCAAGAGTTCAGCCATTGCCACACCAATTCGCGGGATGACCTGGGATGACCTCTTGCTTTGAGTTCTGAGAGATCAAAATTTATCGCGCCTGGCACCCTTAGATTTGCAGATGTCCACATTTAAATAAGGTGATGTTCTTTGCCTTCCCGCCCGTGTGGAGGCCGACCCGCGCGCAAGCGAGAGACCTGACTCGACGAGCATGTGAGCTAGCGAAGATCGCGGTTGCCATGCCTGAGAGGTTTCAGGTTGGGGCGCCTGGTGCTTGGAGCATATGGGAACTTGGGGGTTTATGGCAACCGCAACTCCCAAAAAGATGCCAAAAAGTTCCAGAGACCTGACACTATGGAGAAAACATCATCAATAGCATCCTAGATATGGTTTTAGGCATCTTCTTGGGGGTTGCTATAAACCAAATACACAATTGACATTTAAACCTCAGAAAAGGTTGCATAATGGGATATAGTGCGGAAAACACTGGATATATGAATATATTTGATACATACATATACATATATACATATACATTTGCACATATAGAAGCAACAAAGGGTTCTACCTTCCAGTAAACATGAGTAAAGTGACATAGCGCGATGAAAATCCACAGGTTTCCCGTTCGGAAATTATCTACACATGGTTGAATGATCCTTATCTATGATAACTGGAGGGTAACCAAACAAAAACGCAGGAACGTAGTTTCAACCCACTAAAGATATCAAAACGTTGTGTTGTAAGCAGGAAAGATAGCAAACCGGGATCAAATCCAGCAATTGGATAGAGTTCTGGGTAAATCATGGGGGCCTCATTGGCCGAGCAAGCCCAGCAAATGATGATTAATTAATCATAGGAGTGGGGAGATCATCCATGTGTTTGCCACTTTGGGGATTTTTGCACAGCTGATGCTTGGGAGGGTTAAACCAGTAAGATGGGCGTCTAACCCACATGACTTCTGTTCCATTAGGCGAACAATTATTGGATGTGGGATGGCTGAATCCCTGTGTTTTGGTTGTTCGACACTTTGGCTGGTTGAATTTCGCATTTTTCGCACTTTTTCGTGGCAACGCTGGTCGTGTTTGGTGCGGGTCATTCGGAATGCCCCAGGGGTCCCCCAGGGGTCCCCTACCGGTCCCCTGGGTCGGGCCCGAGGGATCATACCAGGCACGAGAATTGGCGAGTTTGCTTTGGTCTTTGGCCGCTTCGAAGCAGTGGCAGTGGGGCTGAGATATGCTGTGTCAAAGTGATCCAGGGGACCACAGATGTTCAAGACTGGTTGGTGCTTTGGAACATGTTTTATTTTCCCCAATAGTTGGGATGATGATCCAATCTGACGAATATTTTTCAAGGGGCTTAAACCACCAATTAGAAGATGTTGACTTGATTCAATCACGCATTGTCTTCTTTCTTGCTGGTGATTTCCATTGTTTGCAAATGTTGATTGGACAAATCAATGTCTTTGCCAGTGAAAGAAATATTACTTAAATACTGTATGAATTCAATATTAACTATCTACGAATTAAATGGTTTTTATTGGTCTAATCCCAGCATCTTTCATATTTATGGGACACATTTCCCATTCATACTCCCAGGTGGTTTTATGAAGCTGCTGGGGTGTGTTGCTGGTGAAACCAGAACTACTATCTACTACTGTTGTATCATCATCATATTTTATTGGGATGTTGCACACAATCATGGATCATAAATAGTCGTTATCAACACTATTGTATCATAGTTTGTTTTATTAGTTTATCAAAACTATGTCAAACACACTTATAATACCGATTCATAATGATATTACCATTGCCCCATGATATGCGCAAAAATGATTACTGATATCCGCCAAGATCATTTTTCATGATATTCCATTTGCATCCCAAACTTCTATCAATAACAATCGGGGGGTTCTTGAAATGGGGATTCCCAAAACCATGGTTGAATTCTAAAATGGTCTACAGTAATTTGGATGATTTGGGGGTACCCCCCATAACTTAGGAAACCTCCATAATAACAAATCATGTTAGTAGACAGTAAACCATATCAATATGCTATCATCTTCTCATATTTCCAGTAGTGTTTTTTATGTGGTTTCATAGAGATAACAAATAAAAGTGAGATAATCATTGTATTATTGAGTATTCCCATTCATGTTAGCAAACCCAATAATAGACCAAAACAATATTGGTTTACTGAATTATATATTATGGTCTATTGTTAATGATAATGTTGAATCATTGGTTTATTACGTTCGAGAATGGTTTATCATCTATTATAAATTATAACCTGTGTTATTGTATGTTAAGCCATTGTAAACCATGTTTTTTTAAATCATCTATCAAAATGTGATTATCATTGGATTGGTTTAAGGGAAAATCTACAACCCCCCATATTCAAATTTAATGGTAAAAACTATGGTTTCTTGTAGATTTTCCCTTAAACCAATCGAATAATCCCCATTTCTTGTAGATTTTCCCACCAATCGAATACCCTCCGGTAAACTAACATAGCTATTGAAAATGGCCATTTATAGTGAGTTTTCCCATTAAAAATGGTGATTTTCTATAGTTATGTTAAATTCCCAGAGGGTAATCCCCATGGTCCCCATGATTCCTCTCCCAGGTCTCCGTTGCCTACGTCGACCCCGCGTTGCTGGTCACGTCCTGCCGCCTGGCGCTGCCGGAGCTGTCGCTGCAGGGGCTGGCGAATGTGGCCATGGCCCTGGCGACGCGGCGTGTGTAAGCCGCTGGTAGAAACGGTGGATTTCTACGGTGAAAAAGGTGATCAGTATGATATCAGTAGGTTACCTAGGTCGACAATAGTCGGAAAATCGTGGGAAAATGTAGATTGAAGTGGTATTTTTGGGAAAAGATGGGAAGTTGAAGTGCTTCAGAGGAGTGAAAAGTGATGAAAAGTGATGAAAAGTGATGAAAAGTGATGAAAAGTGATGAAAAGTGATGAAAAGTGATGAAAAGTGATGAAAAGTGGGATTTATGCTGTCAAGTGGAGCGTTAGTGCTGGATTTAAATGGTTTAGAGGAGAAACGTGCAGAATAATATTTTTTGGGGGAAAACAGAAACATGAAGATGTCCAGGTGTCTAATAAGAAGGTCGAAGAACTTGGATTTATGCAATGATCATTGGGCCTTATCGTGGAACAATGAGAAAATCCCATTGTTTTATCCCGGAAAAACAGCATGTCCGATCAAATCTTGGCAAACTTTGGTCCGAATTGTTGCTCAGTCGAGTCGGGATGGTTCCTATTGTAATCCTGCGTTCTATCTGGCAGCAATAGTTTAGGTATGATACCTTACTAATTATGTTTAAGTTTTTAACCCGGAAAATATGGGTGTCCAACCAGAAAAAAAATATATAGGCTTTACCCGGCAACAATTTGGATCAGTCCGAAACTGGGGTTGCACCAGCAAAAAAGGAGATGCTCCGTGGGAGTATAGCTTGAATGTGTTTGGTCGGTATTTTGATGTGCACACCAGGAATCAGAAGTGGTGGATATCCGGATGATCTCCCACATAGACTTGAGGAAAACATACTGGATCCTCTTTATCGCCGGTTTATCAGTTCTGCTTATATAAAATATATAAAGCCACGTACCAACTTGGATCCAGGTAAATCTTGGGTGAATGGTCGGTTCAGGATGGCACCAAGCGCTGGTGCTAAACCTTGGTGATGTGGGCGCCAGGCCTGCGTATAAACTCTTTCCACAGGTGACTCTCGGTAAGGGGGTCATAAACAACAAACTGCACTTGCAATATGATACAAATTAATACAAATTAAGTCATTGAGTAACTAAATACATTAACTATGATGAATTTCACAGACAGACGGAAAGACATATCGATAGATAGGTAGATAGACACACACACACACACACACTGTGAGAGATACATAGCGAGATGGACAGAGGGGTAGACCGATCTATAGATAGAGACCGTAGATAGAAAGAACGAAAGATCGATAGACCAAAACAAAGAACCATATTGATTTAGAATCACAACCTCTGATTACGTTTTTTTTTTTTAATACCATTCCCCCACTTGATAATTAGATAAAGTAGGGGCTTAGACAACCCCATCGCTACATTGAGGCCAGCAGCCACTTCGATCACTGGCAGCAGTTGCAGTGGGAGCAGATGGACGCCATGTTGCGGAGACTCCAAGCAGAGCTGTCCACCCGAGCAGCAGAGTCTCGGTGGCCAAGGGACGTTGCCATGCTGCAGGACAGTGATTTGGTTGTGGGGACGGCATTTGAAAGTTGGTCGTTTCAGTGGCTTTGAGCCGTTTCTTGGGGTGCATTCTTTGTTTGGATCTGTTTTGTATGATATGAGTTGGACATGATTCTGACATGATTATAGTTCACAGGATTCATTTCATTTATTATTAATAGTTCTTCTTTTCCACCGGGTGGTGGTTTGGAACATGTTTTATTTTTCCATATGTTGGGAAAAAGAATCCCAACTGACGAACTCATATTTTTCAGAGGGGTGGGTCAACCACCAACCAGTTTTTTCCATTAACCATTTAAGCACATTAACCCCATCAAAATCCAATCATTTTTGGATGTTCAAAATCCAATTAAAAGCCAGTTCTATTGCATTGAATTGCATGACTGCCTTATTTGTTCATGGTTAAATCAGCTTGAAATCCCAGTATGATGGTTAAACCATTAGCCGTTTACCATTGTTAATCAAATTCCTTGGGTTTACCATTGTTAATCATTTACCATTACCAGCTAGTTACCAGTCCATCCCATCCCAGCCTGCTGTTCTCCCCGGCATCGCTCCCGCACCGTCGCCGCCAGGACAGGGCGGCGCGCGTTCTGGACATCCTCTGGGCCTGCCACTTCTCGGGGCAACTTCAGCGGCAGATGCTCCAGGCCGCCAGGAGCCGTTTCGGTGAATCGCCGGGAGATACCAATAGGGATAAGGATGGTTAAATAATTGTTAATAATATGGTTAATGAATGTTAATGATTAATAGTTAGAATGGCTAATGAATGTTAATGATTAATAGTTAGTATGGCTAATGAATGTTAATGATTAATAGTTAGTTAATATGGCTAATGAATGGTGATTAATGTGTAACCCTCTGGTAAATTAACAGGCACTGAAAATCACCAATTTGTAGTGGAAACTCATCTTCCAACCCCCTATTTGGCAGGGTCTATGTTAATTTACTAGAGGGTATATAAATACCGGCTCATGATGGTTAATAGGTAATGCATGTTAATGATTAATATGGTTCATGATGGGTTAATGATAGTTAATTTGGTTAATAGTGGTTCATAATGGTGATGAATGGTGACAAATGAAATATATGTTTAATCTGTGTAAAATTTAGTGACCCTATATGAACCTTATATATTATTAAATAGGGATAATCACCTCCATATGGGTGACATACCTCACTGGACTTTGATTCCCCAGCCGCAAGTTTCAGCTTTGTGAAATATACCAAATTGACCTACAGATTTATGCAATAACTAAATAGGCTATTGCCACAGGTTATAATACCTATATATAGCGGGATATACTAAGGTCTTTTGCGAATTTCTGGTTAGTAACTGTAGGTTGTAAATACCACAAACTATCCCAAGTACATTCCATTTTAACTTAGCGGTTCAACTCCGAGAGACCCATCACTGCGCAGTGATGGGATGATGTATCCCAGCCATCCCAGCCCCCTCATATTACCCACGTCACATGGTTCCAAACAGATGTAATTATATGTAAAGCCTTTCCAAAACTATGGTTTCTGGGGCATGTTACTGATTTGGGGGAGATTATCCCAACTGACTCTTTTTAATGAAGAACGATCTCAGGACTTTGCTGATGCGGCTGGCAGACCTCATCGGCCGGAGAACGTCAATGGCATATGGAGCCATGCTGGTGCCAGGTTGGGCGCGTGGGGGATCTTGGTGCCGGGGACCTAAATTGCTGGTAAATTAACATAGACCCTGAAAATAGCCCAGTTTTAATGGAAACCAATCGTCCAACCCCTATCTGGCAGGGTCTATGTTAATTTACCAGAGGGTAAATTGCTGGTATAGTTTTGGATGTTCATCCCCCATTGCCCCAAGTATGGTATGTAACAGGCTTTGATCCATCTTTTGGCTGTCAAATCTGTCAAGAAAGATTACATTTAAGCTAGCAAACACCAACGCACAAGGGATTTAAAGTAACATGGAGCCAGGCAAAATTGCAGGGATAGAAACCGGAGGGATCTACCGATCTATCCTTCAGATCCCATCAAAGCTTCAAGATTGAAAACCAACAAGACCGGGACCTACCAGTTAACCATCAACAAATGGGGACTTTATCAGAAAGACCATGATGAATCTAGAAAATTGATCAACAAAATCACGGGTCAGTCAAGGGCCTAGTTTCAAGACCAGACTTCCCACCATAACACCGCAGACTGTTTCGTGACTAATCACGTGAAATCTGAGGATCTCAACCAGGTACTCGACACGCAGACCATGAGCCCCCGTGAGCCGCCAGCAGCGCAGGGAATGAAGACGATGGCCATCCTGGTACTCCTCACCTGGTCTTGGAACCTTTGAAATCGCTTGATGTACCCTCCAAACGAACATGGCACTGGAAAAGGTTCCATTTATAGATGGTGTTCCCATTCGAAACCTCCATTTGCAGAGGATTTTCAATTGCCATGTTTTTAACATAGCTATGGAAAATGGCCCATTATGGCCCATTTATAGATGATTTTAGTATTGTATACACATGGTGGGTTTCAACATATAGTTATGTATAGTTATGTTAGTTTGCCAGAGGGTAAGAGAAAGTTTAGAGCCAAGGGAACGGCAATCATTAATCCTGAATCCCTCCTCCCTTCCATGAATCACCCCGTCAACCAACCATGGTTTTGTAGGTCATGGGAAAGCATAGAAACCACTTAGGGTGTGTTTTTTTCGGCAAAATATAAAATATATTAGGGGAATGGGAATAATAGCAATGTAACATCATTGTTTTCTTAACACATGCTTTCAACTATTGGGTGAGTTCTCCTTGCTGTATTTGGTCTGATGTTTGTGTGCCAAAAAAATCCAACTGATTAGGATAGGTTTGTTTTCCCGGCAGTGGTACGGTGCCGTAGAATACCAATACATTCAATACTTAAGTGATTAATAAACGACCATTGCTGATGGGTTTGTTGGGTTTGTTTGGAAATTAGGTACCCCCAAAATCCACTGGTGACTGATTCTTGTCCTCAGGATTTGGGTGATAGAGGAGTGGTGTACAAGCCGCCATCCTTCTGGCAGGTGCTGCAGGGGCTACCCGAAACGGTGATGTACAGCTAAGCTAAGCTATTAAAGATTGCCGTGTTTAATAGGCAAGTCGGCAAGTCATCTACAGATGGGGAATGTTCCATGGCATGGTAAATTCCGAGAGGTTTGTGAGCATATATATATATATACACAGTATCTAAAGACATGTCTACAGGCACACAAACATGTAGGAACCCCCCAGCACAGTCTTGCAACAGAGGCAGTTTCTCTTAGTCATATCAAGCTTGGGAAATGATGGAACTGTGTTTGGGCTATTGTTCCCTTTAAAAAAAATGTATTGGATGAACATTCAAAATTGCATGATTGTTGTTTTCCCCAAAAACATATGATTTTGAAAAAAACAGCTGGTCTGGTTGGTTAAATTTGGTTTTATTTAAACATACATAGACTTGGTGCGTTTATCCAGGCTTTTTGGTTGGGTCAGAACTCGCGACAACATGACTAGTCTTCCCTGTTCGTCGTGTGCGTATATATGTCAATGCATGTCATTAAATAGCATGCAGGTCATGATGTACTTATATATGACTGCGTGACTAAGCAATTCATTTTGGAGCAATTACAATCCTACTAGAAGCCTTTGATTTTTCATTTTCATTATGATCAGTTGCATTGAAACAAGAAAACACACAGCTATTATAAATCCCCAATATAATAATATAGCTATCCCACCGTGAGCCACCATGGTTGTTGCAATAAGCCTTTGATAGCCTATGGAAAGTACATTTAATTTAAGTAACACATTGCTTTCTATAGTTTTGCAATAAACATACATATATAATTATAGAGTGCCGCTTTGTAATCCCCCTGCACTATATTCCCTGCAATGCCACTATATCATCCCAATAACCAATCCCACTGTATAATCCCATTATACAATCGCACTATATAATCCCACTATATAATCAAATTATGTTTAGTACTATACCGAAGGGTCTTCATGTACTGCCAATAGCTCTACCTTCGCAGGGGCCAAAACGGCCAGGTGGACGACGGCAAGGATGAGCCGGCGGATGATGCACTGCGACTCTCGCAATTCACCCAGGCGTGAAGCCGTTCACCTGTGCCATGTGTATACATACAATTATGTATGATGTATGTATACACATTGCGCAGGTGAACAACTAAACCCACACACACATTTACATCGCGATTACATTAGATTGCATTGCATTGTATTGCGCATACATATATTATACAACTGTAGACTGGTGACCGCATTCTCCATCATTGCCCATCAATGTGCTCACAAATTGGATGTACTCCCCAAACAGTTGCAACTTGTTCAAGGGGGACATGAGATCTTTGACACCATTGGATGATAAAAAGATACCCCCCATTCTCCCATTCTTAGACAACTCCCAGTGATTTCTGTGACTTCCCAGCTTTTTCAGCTCGATCCCGGAAAAAAATGGCGCAGCCATGGTCGTTGATCCAGTGCAATCAACGGATCGCCGCCTGCAAGACGGGCTCGCAATGGCAAGAAGCTGCGCACTTGTTGCAGCAGATTCCCACACGAGCGCTTCAGGTCTCGCTGTGTTTCTTTTTGTGTTGGGTGGTGCTTGAGAGGGTATGACAAGTTGAACAAGATTGAGCCGGGTGTCGTGACCATACTATACCCATGTAGCACCAAGTGGGAGATTTAAAATTAGCGTCCAGATGTCAGATTCCAGATAAACTACACCAACTTATTCGCAATGATTAAACATGATCAACCATTAAGATCATGTATTAGTGGATGTTTCCCACGATTGTGATTCTGTTTTTTTGTTTGCATTTATTTATCTATATGAATTTTCTTGGATCTTATTCCCTATGTGGGTACCTAGAAACCCAACCTTTGACAAGGAACATGTTGCTTAGTTTAAAACTTCGTCAGCTGCTGTTGCAATGGAGGAACAAGTCACATCATAATTGGTTTTGATGGTGCCCGTCTACCCATGTAGCTGATGAAATTCATCACTTTTGATGCGTACCCTTAGCACACTCAATTTGTGTACCCTCTGGTAATTTAACATAGCAATGGAAAATCACCATTTATAGTGGATTTTCCCATTAAAAATGGTGATTTTCCATAGCTATGTTAGTTTACCAGAGGGTAATGATTCTTTGATATAGTTTGTTTTGGCGCCTTCCACTCTCACCTATCCAGTGGTAAAGTGACATAGCTTTGGAAATCAGCATTTTTCATAGGGAAATCTCCCGATACATGGGCTACGGTTTCCATAGCAAACTGTTAGGAATACCGGAGGGTAGTCATGTATCCCATATCCATGATTACCAGTCATATTCCCATCATGTCACTCGCTAAATCACCAACCTTTATGGCTTATATAATCCCCGAGCCCCATGATTTACCATATTTTTACCATATAAGGTAGTGCACCCACAGTTCTAAGTTCATGTATCACCTTCATCAACTATGGACAAATGTACCATAAACCCTAGTGAACTTGGACTAATGTTCACCAACTTAACTAACTATAGGGCACCATTGTAGCTATCCAGCTATCTCTTCACTCCAGAGTGCCCTGAGGCCAATGTGATCTCCTTTAGCAGTGCCATTTCCTGTTCTCCCTGGTGGCAGGCCTTACTACTGGTGGCAGGAGCCACCAACAACGCAGCTTGACGCTGCAGCAGTTGTTGTTTGTTTTTTTTGCCCAGTCGTGTCTAAACATGCAGTCAAAACCAGAAATACCACTATTTCGTGGGTTTATAAATGGGGGTTATATGGGTTACACATTCCGTAAATGGGGTTATTTCACTGACTTATCACTGGTATTTGGGGCCAGGACTGTGGGATATAGGCCCCAAATGGCACTTTGAATTGTTGAAAGTGAAGATCACAACCATCATCCTTTGGACAAACCCAGGTGATTTCTCAAGTTGGTTTCAGTCCCATCACCATTGATTCTCCAAGGTGACCACCATCGAATGGCACCTGTTCATGTTCAATCGTAGGATCATCCTGCCAGTTGGGTTTTCCTGATGTACCCACAAATCCGATGGATCATCATTGTCCCTATTAAAATCGCCATTTGGGGGTAGATCCCATTTTCAACCCATGTGGAGCTGATCTTACAATTTTCCTCATAGTCCCACCTGGCCAGGTTGTTTCGTACACTGCCGCCATGGGCAAAGTGGAGGAATGGACTTTTGCCTTCGAGTCTTTGACGCTGGGATGGGTTTATAAAGTTTATGATCCATCCGATATAGATGTTTCCTTAAGAAATCCCCAAATCCATGGGGTTCAATACTAAAATGAATTCTATAATTTTGGATGATTTTGGGGGTACCCCCATTTTTGGACACATCCATAATCCTCCCCATGAATAAATTCATTGACCCAGGATCCAGGTCTGGGAAGGACGAATGCACCGAGCACCAAGCCCGTTATTTCTCCTACAGGCTCCATGATGCCTATCGTTGCCTATGTGTTTGGTTTATTTTGGAAAAAAACTTGCCACATATAGGCATAGGCGTGCCATTTGCGATTTCTATCCCCCACAATCTTGAGCTAGATTTCTGGACAAGTTATCATACCTCCCAAAGCAAGAACGCCAGAGTTTCATATCCATCCAGCATGCTCCATCCATGAAAGATTTTTCAGCATTTACCTCAAATGTTTATCCAAATGCTTACATGGAGCATGTGGGCATCTTTGTTTACCACACTGTTCTCTGCCTCAGGAGGCAGATGGAATTGGCACAAGTGCAGCCGAACCTCTTCAGCTACAGCAGCTTGGCGCGGAGCGCCGCCTTGTGGCAGCAAGGAGTGCAAGTGCTACATGCTGTTGATGCCAGGAGATTGGAGGCGACTTGGAGTCACAGTTTTTTTCGCTTTTTACCAGTGATTTTTAGGGTTATACATGGGGTTGTGCATTCCATAAATGGGAAAGACTCAGTAAAGACAGTTATAGCGGAAATTGCCATGAAGAAAGGGAACGCCCGTGCCAAGTATTTTTGCGTGCTTACCAGTGCTTCCACAAGTTTTTGTGTTTATCATGAGCAGGGTCAAAAGATGCCTTTAAGAGATACCTCCCCGAGAACGATCGCGGCCACTGGAGGGATCGGGATCTTGAGGAGCCATACCCCACCTGGTTGGTGGTTTGGAACATTTTTTATTTTTCCCCAATAGTTGGGGGGATGATCCAATCTGACTAATATTTTTCAGAGGGGTTGAAACCACCAACCTTATTTTTTCCATATATTGGGAATAATCATCCCATTTGACTAATATTTTTCAGAGGGGTAGATCTACCACCAACCAGCCACAAATTGCGGCATTGCCGAACTTTCTTGGTCAGGTCAACGCCATCCTCCATGGCACAGTACTGACCGGTTGTGCCACTTCCGCGGCCTGGGACTGCGCGCTGCATTTGCTGCGAGGTGTTGCTGGGATGCAGCAGGGGTTCTGGTCGCCCCAGAAAACAATGGTCATTTCAGGAACCGATTTATTGGAGGCACCATATAAGGCCTATGTAAGGCCAATCTAAGGGACTATCCCCCCAAAATACGTTCAAAATATGCTCTTGTATGGTAGAGTACCTCTACTTTAGGGTCCTGAAATGGCCATTAATAGGGAGATTCCATGAGAAAAACTTGGAACCAATGTCACATATTACCATTGATTTAATCAAATTTAATGCCATATGTTCCCATCTATTTCACTTACGATCCCACTAATATCCCTTTACAACCAACCCAATGAGCGGCTGCAGGTTCAGCCCCTCCCTGATGTGGTGGCCTTTGCCTCGACGATCACGGCATGCGAAAGGGCCAGCAGATGCCTGGCGGAAGCAGATGTTGAGTACCTCTGGGGCAACTGAGGTTTTAATGGGAAAATCATAGGAAAACCATGGGAAATCCCTAGAGACATGGAGGTTTACCCTCTGGTAAACTAACATAATGTTCACATGGCGTTAATAAACCCCCCCGCAATAAAGTACGCCAACTCCCGGTTCACAATAATAAAACCTCCCCGCAATAAAGTACGCCAACTTTTTTTTTCCCGTTTTTTTCCGTTTTTTCCCTTTAGTATTCGTTTTCAATTAGGCAATTCATTTGGGAATACATAGGTGTTTTTTTTGGGGGGGGAAGTTCCCTTATGTATTCGTTTTCAATTAGGCAATTCATTTGGGAATACATAGGGTATTTTTTTTTTGGAGGGAAGTTCCCTTATGTATTCGTTTTCAATTAGGCAATTCATTTGGGAATACATAGGTGATTCTATTTTTTGGAGGGAAAGTTCCCTTATGTATTCGTTTTCAATTAGGCAATTCATTTGGGAATGCATAGGTGATTTGTTTTTTTTGAAAAGTTCTGGGGTGCAAAAAATCAACAAGGCTCAAATGGTCGATTTCCTTACTAAACCCTTTCAAAAAATGCCAAAAAACAATCGCGCAAAGGGGGTAGCCTTGAGGTCCCCTGACATCAAAATAATAATGTATGTTTGCACACCCCTAAATAAAGTATTTGGATTTCAGGGTTCTAAAATTTTGGTGGTTAATTAAATGTGTTTCTCAATTCCTTTCCTAGTTGAACCCTTTCTCAAACCCTTTCTGAAGCCCTCAAGACTCTTTGAGCTGGAAGCAGTAAACTCCAAACTCCAAATCTTGCCTGAAAAGTTCTGGAGTGCAAAAAAATCAACAAGGCTCAAATGGTCGATTTCCTTATTAAACCCTTTCCTTACTAAAACCCTTTCAAGAAAGTTCACTTTATGTATGCGTTTTCAATTAGGTAATTCATTTGTGAATACTAAAGTTCCAAGAAAGTTCACTTTATGCATTCGTTTTCAATTAGGCAATTCATTTGTGAATACTAAAGTTCCAAGAAAGTTCACTTTATGTATTCGTTTTCAATTAGGCAATTCATTTGTGAATACTAAAGTTCCAATAAAGTTCACTGTATGTATTCGTTTTCAATTAGGCAATTCATTTGGGAATACATAGGTGATTTTTTGGTTTTTGGAGGGAAAGTTCCTTTTATGTAATCGTTTTCAATTAGGCAATTCATTTGGGAATACATAGATGATTTTATTTTTTTTTGGAAAGTTCCCTTATGTATTCGTTTTCAATTAGGCAATTCATTTGGGAATACATAGGTGATTTTTACGATAGTTGAATGTTTGGCCCTAACTTTATTCTGATGCTCTGTATTTTTTGGGGGAGGGGGGAGGGTTTATTAATACGATGTTGACATTAACTATGGACCATGGAACATCATCATTTTCTGGTAAATCAACTATAAATGGCAAATTTCAATAGGTGTGTTAGTTTACCAGAGTTTATGTGGACCTTTTGCTTCCCCAGTTTGGGGGATGATTGTTCAACCATACGACTGGGATGATAGGTTGATATGACGAGCATATTTTACGGATGGGTTAAAACCACTCTACCGAACACAAATTGGAATCAAATTTGGGAGGGTATGTTTTTTTTCTCTGTGTGTGTGGTTTCAATTACGGTTATTTTCAGCCTTCCCTGATATGATGACACCGAACATTTTATTCTTATTCAAGAAGGGAGTTGACTGAGAAAACCTTGGATGGGTAGTTGAGTAAGTTTAGTATTGGATTGGTCATTTTGGAACCAAACCGCCAACCACTTTTTTGAGGCCCAAAATCATTGGAGAATCCACCATTGATCTCCATGTATATATACATCACATGTCAATTCACAAGTTCTGATGGTTAACCCAGAATTGTATATAGAGTGTTTATATATTCCCAATTTCCATAGGACTCCTGCTTCCCACGCTGCCAGCCCCTTGAGCCAAGGATGGGAGTTGTCTCTACAGCTGCTACTGGATGCCGCTGCTCAAAAACTGCAGCTCAATGCCATCATCTACAGCGCTGCCATCAGTGCCATGTGATGTTTTCTGGGGCAGTTGGATGTTGGAGGGGTAGGTAAGATGCTTTTTCGGGGGGATGGATGAGTGCATTTACAAGTTTCTACCATTTGTAATATATGTTTATAATTACGCGTGGAATATCGATCACATAATATCATACATATATATATGTATATATGTATATGTACACACATGAAGATATGAATATGTATGTATGACATGCATTCTCATATTCCATCATATGAACTCCTGCGTTCATTTCATCCGTGTCCTTAGGGGCCACCGGGCCACCTCCCTCGCCAGGTGCGTGCGAGAAGTCCTCCATGTGGCAGGCCGCAGCGCTGCTGATGTCCGAGGCGATGGCGGCAGCTGCGGACGTCGTCGCCTTCAACGGCACCATCAGTGCCTGCGAGAAGGCTGGCGCATGGCACATGGCTACTGGTTGGCTGGAGGAGCTGGGAACTTCGGAAGCTGATTGAGATATGTTTGGTGTAACTTTAATAACTTTTTGCAGATCTCCGTGAAAAGCTTAATGAAATTAATTGGAATGTATAGTTTATCTAAGAGAATGTTGGTCCCTCAAAAAAATGCAAGGAACTTGTGGTGTACAAGCCAACGTCATCACCTTCAACGCCAGCATCAGTGCATGCAGACAGTGCTGGCCGAGAGCATTGTTTTTACATGCGCAACTGGGCGTTGTTTTGGAAAGACTGAAAGACTGAAAGACAATTCCTCAGCCCTGACATCCCGTGACTGGATTGCTGCCATTCGGAAATATGAAACCATCTGAAACCTTTGTGGATCACGACTTCTTACTGGTGCTTAGCAGGGAATGGATGGTAATGGGGGAATGGGATGATTATTCCTAGTGGTTATGAATCATTCCCTCATTCCCTACGTTGAGCACGAGTAAGACTTTGAACGTGGATCTAGTGGATCCTCAACACGCAGGCAGTGTCGACAGCAGGGCATAAAGTCCGATGTGATCACTGCCAGCGCGGCCATCAGCGCTGCTGCATGGGAGTCGGGCGTCCTCCTCTTAGAGGGGCTCAGGCAGGGCCGTGGGTCAAAGATCCTCGAAAAATGGGCAGTGTTTTTACCAACCCCTGTTGGTTGATGATGGGGATGATTTATGATCATATATACTACCAACATAAATATATATATATATCCTTATATCCTATATATCATATATTATCATATATTATCATATATTATCATATATTATCATATATTATCATATATTATCATATATTATCATATATACCTCCAATTATACAGGATTATACTACCATATTGGGGATTATAATAGTCCAGTAGGGGAATCATGAGGAATCCCGACAAAAACTCCAGCGATTTTTGGCAAGTCATGAGGATGACCACCCCCACTTGGCCTTTCTGCAAAGGAGGTGAGACCTAAAGCTAGGCACACCATGATACCCACAAAAAGGCAACATAGAACCACTGCAACCCAGTTATGATTGTAATATATCGTATTTCCAGTTATGGAGTTTGTGGCCGGGTTTGGGCGGCATATAGGTTCTAAACCATTTACTAGTTACTAGTTGGGATGGACATCCAAGTAATACAATCAAGTGGCTTTATCAAGCAGTAAGATGACACATTAAATGTCTGACCAATCGATATCTACAGCCGTTGCATCCCTATGGCTTTGTATGGCATAACTCACCAATTTTATCCCAAGTTATTCTTGTTACAATATTTTATGGCTTAAATGACTGCATGTGTGGCTGTGGCCGTCTACATTAAAATATAATATCTATATATATATTGCATGGGCTCATCCCAAATTTTATGGGATCATGGTCGTTTCTTGTGATTTTACGGTCTACCTTCTCGTTTCTAAAACCTTAATTCATAGGGCTTGTCCAAATGCTACGTTTGATGGCCCTGGCCCCGGATGGTAATTCCATGGATCACCCTATGACGCAGTATCATTCACTATATAAAGAATTATTATCCATTTACAAGCAATGTCCACCCTTACCATTAACCATCAATCCCCATTAGATTTTCTCCAAAGCTCTATAAATCCCCTTTTCCATTAACCATTAAATCCCATTTAAGCACATTAACCCCCATCAAAATCCCACCATTTTTGGATGGTTAAAATCCAATTAAAAGCCAATTCTATTCCATTGAATTGCATGACCGCCTTACTTGTTCATGGTTAAATCAGCTTGAAATCCCAATATGAACAATGGTTAACCCATTAGCCATTTACAACTTCACCATTAGCCTTATCATTATACAATCCCAAAACCATTGACCCACGGGTTGTAAATGGCTAATGGTTGTAAATCCCAATCATTATAGAATCCCATAATGTTGCGGCCTTTCATCATTAACCATTACGGGTTGTTAATTATTTGCCATTAAGCTTACCATTGGTTAATGATGAAAGCCGCAAGCTGCAACCTGAGGCCCCTAAATCTTTGGCCGGATTTGACCCTCATCAATTCCTTGCTGCCAAGCCTACGTTGGACACAGGAAGGGTGGGAGATCCAGCTGGTTAACCAGGGATGATCATGGGATAATCAGAGAATCCAAGTTAATGTGGTTTTATATGGTCCTTCAGAAAATATGTTTGAAAGAATGATAGGATAGGTTTTACTATGTTTTAATTATATATATACATATATTGGATGAACCTTGATTAGATACTATCTAGTACTGGTACTTCAATATTTAGCTATCAATGGCTAGATGTACTACCCAGCTAACAAATAATATTGTTTGACAGTTGTCTAAGATTCACCATGAAGAAAACACTATAGCCAAAACAAGTTGCTATAGTCCGAATAGTATCCAATCTTGCCAGGTCATTTGAAACTGATTGGATAGTTTGGCACACATTACCAACTATAGTAACTATAGCCAGTCTTGTCTCAAACTAGAAACTTGTGCGCACCAAGAAGTTGCTAAGTATCGCAGTGTGCAAATTGAGCATCGCCATCGAAATTAACGAATCGGCTGTATAGATAGCAGATTTCCCAGCAGACTATATAAATTAAATCTTACTGTAAGGCCAGAGGTGATTCAACGATTAACAAGCTTAGTTTAGTCGGTCCGATCACTTTGCACACTGTTTAGACAGACCAACAATACTAGTTACATCTTCATTCTACAGCATAAGTTCCCGGTATCTAAATCAATGCATCCACCTGCCACCATGGCGGCAGACAATTGAGCTGTTGGAACAAACGCCGACCTCGCTGGAACCTGACTTCCTGAGCTACGAAACAGTGACTGGTTCTGGGTCCTGGGATTGATAGTGACTAGTACGTGAAGCTGATGCGTATTTAAACGAGGGGTATACTTATTTGGTGTATGTGTAAAAAATGCATAGGTCTATATGTAATAACAAAGATGTTACAAATGAATATCTATCTATCTATCTATCTGTCTGTCTGTCTATCTATCTATCTATTTATCCTATCTATCTATCTACCTATCTATCTATCTATCTAGCGATCTAGCTATCTATCTATCGATCGATCTATCTATCTATCTATCTGTCTATCTATCTATCTAACTATCTATCTATCTATCTATCTATCTATCTATCTATCTATCTATCTACACACCATCCATATATACATATATATATATATATAGGTGCATATTTTTGCAGGTAGTCTTAGAGACGCCGAGGGTTGCAAATCTCTGCATCACAGGAGCCCACTTACGATTCATGGGATAGTCGCTAGAGATAAAACATTTTCGCTGCAACCCCCACGTTTGCCCGCATCGGATCCCGCATATCCTTTGACATGCTAAAATCTCTGCGTAGGGCTAGCGTTTTCTTTTACTTTCCAAGAACTAAAACCCTAAAAGCCTAAAAGCCTAAACCCTAAATTCAAACCCTAAATCCTAAAAACCTAAAGTCAAGATCGTTGCGTATTGCCAGTGTTTTCATTCCTCCTCTGGTGACAAGTGTATGATACTGTTTGTGTGTGTTATTTGGGTGTGGGCGAACCTGGGGTTTGGAGGGAACATGTATGAAAAAGAACAACATCTTTAAAACATACCCAAAGACACAATGAAACAGACAAACACAGAACATATATGAACATATTTGGTTGGTGGTTTGGAACATTTCTATATATTGGGAATTTCATCATCCCAACTGACTAATATTTTTCGGAGGGGTTGAAACCACCAACCAGATATTGTGTTTGGTTCAAAGAAGTTCCATGTTCAGTTGCCGGCTGGGGCAGTTGACGACGACTCGATATGGACTCGATATGAACAACCAACGGGGACCCTGGGAAAGATGCAATTTTTGCGTCTTGATATCACCGTCATTTGCGGGGTTGAAATCAAGTATACCCCTAATTATGTGTCAATGATTGGCTCCGTTTTCTGTGCAGCAACAGACATGACAATAGGATCAACAGGCATGTTTTTTTCTAAATAGGCTCGGGATGATGTTTATGTCACTGATTTGTTTGACACCAATGTCACACATCTTTGGACGTGTTCCGCTTTCAGCTCACCTAATTGTTGTTGATGTTTTTTGTTCAATAACCAACTGGTAAAAAGACATGAAATCATATCGTCACTAAATCCCTTCTGACTAATTGAATTCGGCGTGTCAATGTTTTTTGGTAGCCAATCTAAACACTTCTAAAACGCCAATCTCAACACTTCTAAAACGTTCGTGTTTGTCAATTACATGATTATTGAGGTTTTGTTACTTCAGCTAATTAATGTTTTGTAGTCAAGCTGTTTTTTGTTGGTTAAAGTTAAGACCATCAAGCTGTCACCTCTCCCGTCCCCAGGTGATGACGAGCAGCATCAAGGCCACCGAGTGGCCGCAAGCCATCGAGTTGGCGGGAGCTGTGGGGTCCAATGCCTTGCTGTTGGGCGTGGAAAGGCAGCCTGAAAGACAGCAGCGGGAAACAAACCAACATGATAATTTAAGGATAGAGAATGCGTATGGAACAGGTTTGAACTATCAGAATCAGAAATGGTGATTTTTAATGGGTCAATCATGAAACATGGTGGATTTAAACCAAGAAAACTGACGGTATAGTAGGGATATCGTCGGATATCATTTAGATTTGCTGAAGATGATTCTAATTTTCCGTTAACTCAACAAGCATGAAGAATCTACTATGTAAATGAATCATTTTTGTTGGCCCCCAAGAAGTGAATGCAAACAAGAAATAATGGCCTTTACACTGTATATATTCTAATCAAGAAATATTATGAATTACTTGGCCATGGCTCATATTCAAAATATTGAGATGTAACCGACAGTAGCTAGGTGGTGTTTCAGGATCGAACCCTGGCCGAGCTGACTCACTCTGGAGTTGTGATTGGAAAATTGCAATGTTTCCCCCACCATGGGGACATGATGGAAAATTAGAGTAAATTATGGAAGAATGACAATTGTAATATATTCTAAGTGTAAGTGACTACCCTTTGGCCTAATTTAACCGGTTGCTTTGGAATATCATCATTTTCAGTAAATAAATGTTCAAATCAATTTTGCGAGAAGTTCAATTACTGGAGGGTAAACAAACACATTCCGCAGGTGTTTGAACAAATTTAACATATTCGCAGACTATCTGAACAGAATTGATATGCCAGATTAAAGTCGCTGAGACCATTGGTGGATGTCGAGTTTGCTGGGAATGGTGATTTTCCAGCTAGCCATGTTTGATTACCAGAGGGTATCCCAGAAAGAAAGAGCAGTGCTTCAAATGACTCCGCATCAGGCAAGGCCGCGTGCCACCAGCGATTGTGTCCAAGCTTTTCTTCGCTCAAGCAGATGCAAACCTTGAGAAGATTCGCGACACGTCAAGTTTGCAAGGTGAGGCACGAGCCAATTTGAAAGCCGGGCATTGATGTCCATGTTTACTTTGCATGCGTTTTTTCCTTCCAGATTATTTTCAGATTTTGTGGGGTTGATGGCTGATGGTTTCACTTCGGCAGCTTCGGGTGACATGAACGCCGCGAAAAAGGAAAGCTGCTGTCGATTTGTTCGGTCAGCAGAGATGGGCTCTGTATTCTTGACTCTTGATTTGTAACTCATGGATGATGCATTCATGATTACAACCTGTGAGTTTCGCACATTTTATGGCCAGATTGTGGCACTGACAGTTTACGTATTCAAGAGATTTAGAAGTATTTTTATATGTATAAATATGTATAAATATGTGCGATGGATGCTTGACAGATGTAGGGTTCATCCATTTTCCACAGTCATGAGTGGTGCATTGCGCTGCAGGAAGTGAAAGCCGTGAGTCAAGAAATGTTTGTCCCTGAAGCCGCCAAAATTGAAATAGTAACTGTCCATTTGTTGGTTAGGAGGGAGCTAAGACCCTACAGTTAAAACTCTATACCAGTTATAAATTGATATAAATGGGGTTATGTTTTTTTTTGGGGGGGGGGGTGATTTCACTGACTCATAACTAGTAATTCGGGCCATAACTGTGGGTATCTATATATTCTCCATAAAATGGAGAGCCAAGGGGCCTACGAAGAGTTCCTCAAACACGTGACAGTTGGAGAACGCACAGCAAATGTGCAACGTGCCCAAGAGCGATTTCTAAATGAACATGTTGAAAAGCATTTTCTGTAAGGTAAATCATCCCCAAATGGAATTATTTTTAGAGAAGTTTGCATTATTGAATTGAAGTGAATTGTTATTGTTCAAATTTGTCAAGCGCTGATATATTCCCATATTATGTACATTTATGTACCATGGTTATATAATGTTATATAATATTTGATATGCATATATATATATATATAATTTATTTTATCTTTAAACAGCAATGTCCATATGGAGGTTTCCAAAATAGGTGTACCCCAAAATCATCTAAAATTAGACAAGTTTAAATAGTAATTATTGAGACCTGTGGTTTTGGGGATCCCCATTTTAAGAAAACACACACAGACATAGACATATATATATATGTAATTATATGTATGTGTTTTTTTTAATATATATATGTATTAATTATGTATGAATTTATTTATAAAAAATATATATATATATTATATGTATGCATGTTTATATATATATATAAACATATATACAGAAACATATAAGGATCATTCATTGTCAGACTCTTAGATAACCCCTCCCTATTGCACGACCAGGCCATGCACCCCGTGCGGCAGTGGCCCTTGTTGGATGACACGCGCCACAGCCGGGGCTTTTTGCATCGTGTCGCGCCGCGGAAAATGATGGGTTTCAGCAGGAAAACTTTGATTTAGCCATGAAAAACTGAACAGGAATGAACCATCAGAAGTGTGGGATTTGATTTAACCATCAAACACGTGGAATGAGTGGGGGAAATATGAAAACTAGTTGATTTTAGCATCAAAACTGAGGCTGTAACCATGAAGACTTGGGTGTTATGTGGCAAGAATATGGTGATTTCATGTGATTTCTTGGGTGTGCTACAGGGGGTTGACAAAAATTGTGGCGGGGACACATGGGGATTTAGCATGATACAACCTAATATGGATATGCATCAAGTCATTCGGGGCACAAATGAATCCACAAAATGTCTCGTGTTTAGTTTAAAACTAGAAACTTCAGGGGTTGGATCATCGTTTTGAACAATACCGGCAATACCAAACATGTTCCTATAACTTCCCTGAAAGTAAGAATGATGTGCGTCTAAAACGTTGCTTGGAAGATGAGGTGTTTTTTTTGTGAATATTGCCACTGGCTTTTGGCGTTGTGACATTATACATCATATATAATATTATAATGTTTTCTGTTTTCTCTTGGTCCCAGCCACCGAAACGTGGGGTTTAATGTGTGGTGGTTCAATCAGAAGTGACCAAGTCTTCTGCTGACATACCCTCCGGTACTCAAACATGGCCATCGAAAATCTCCTGTGCCATGGGACATTCCCCGTTTAATAAATGACTTTCCCATCAACACGTTCGGGCCCCACCCAGCTGGCCATGGTTGAGGACACCAGACGGTATTTGCAATGGTCAGGCACATTCAATCACATATAGTCTCTGTCCGTGCTGCAGGTGTTTGCATGAATAGTCTTGCAGAATCTTACCTGATAGCAACTCCAAGCTAGATAGAAATGACGGAACAACGAAATTCAAACACTGGGGACATAATTATTTGTCGGGTTCCCCTTTTTTGACCGGTTTGCTCTTCAAAATCTTTCAGCATCGCCAACATGTTTATTTTTGTGTTTCCAGGTTTCCCAGCGATCTTTTGCCTGAGGTTTGGATATCCCAACCTCTGGGCTGGTTCTTGTGGCCAGAACACACCGAGCCTTCTATGACCTCAGGCAGTGACAAATACAATCTGATTGTAAATGCACATTGCTGCTTAACAAGGACTTGTCCTATTCAATCCTATTCATGGTTTTATCGCTTTTTCCGCGTTGGCCATAAGTCTTTATAGGTAAACTCGTCAGACCATGTTAGTTCGTTCCATCGTTGACCATCCAAATGTTGTTGTCATTCCAGGCAACATGTTTTTGATCACTGTTTCTGGCCCGACCCGAATTTCGTTGGTTAAGCCGCCTTTTATTGATTGCACTAGTCAACCCCATGTCCTGCTGCTTTTGATCCTTTTTTTCTGACGGATGATAGTTAGGGGTGGAGTTCAAGTTGAGTGTGTGAAACGTTGAGTGTGTGAAACGCCAGACTCGTTGCATGTATCCTACTTTATGGATCTTCATGGTGGTCTGGTTGCAACCATCTAAAATCTCAGCCGCACAATAATAAACTATCCCAATAACACTGTCCCAACTTACCCATAGTACCCATTCAAAGAACAAACATCCAACTGCAGATAATAATTATATCCCATATGGCCCATATGAATCCATATCAATCCAGATTCATTCACATTCACCCACCGTTCCATAGATTGGTTTCCGGTAGATTCACTTCCCATTGTCATATTAATCAATATGAATGCATATATATATATATATATATTATACAATCCATATCAATCCGTATCAATCCATAGTAATCCACACTAATACCATTTAACAAAAACAATATCAATCCATATCTCCACACTAATCCACCATATCTGGACCATATCTCCTCAATGTCACTTCCCCATTTTCCAATGTCAACCGGCCCCGTTGCCGCCAGGCTCCAGCTGGCCTTGGGCCAGCTGCAGCGGGAGTACTGCGTCCTGGCGCACGGACGCTGGGCGTCGCGCCAGGAGCTGCGCTGTCGGGTGCCTGGGCCAAAGATGTGAAGCAGATGGCTTTCTCATGATTTCTCTGGGAAGAATCCAGGTCCAAGCTGGTGAACTGAATCTGTTGTCCATTTCTTTGGGCTTGTGATAAGTAATTCATGATATTCATGATAAGAAAAACGATCAGAAATCCAACACAGGGATTGATGTGGGCAAATTATGTCGCAACCGATCTAGCTGTAAAAATTTGCGGATGATTATATCGAATTCGGGGAACTACCTCATGTGTTTTCGTTTCCTCATGATTTGAGAATGATACTAGTGTGGCCAAATCTGGTGAATAAATTGAATAAATGCTATCAAGTGCTAACGAGGCTAAGAAACGTGTTTTTCATGTCTTACTGGAACACTGGCGGTAGTAACCCCATCAGAAATATGGATTGATATCACACCTGTAAGATTTTGGAGATATCAGCAGTGAATTATAAGATGCTCGGTGCGAATGGATAGGAACAATCAGTAATCGGGGATAATTGGGGATAATCGGGGTATTAGCCACCAACAATGGAACAACATGTGGAGATTCAGCCACTGCATGTTTTTTTTCCAGAAAACGAACGGGTAAGGTTGAAGGTGAACTATAACTGAATTAACTACTTGAAGCTGGTGCCAACCGGGGAAAGATCAGCCACGGAGACCTGAAGTGTTGAATCATTTGGGATGGGCACATATGGCCACATCAGAAGTTGCACATACCTTGTAGGCTTTGCGCTTCGTTTTCACTGCATTGGGAGATTTTCCTTGCAGAATGATGAACCTCGATTTAACATGTGACTTTCCATAGCAAGGTTGGACGACTGAAGGGGGATTGTGTCGACAAATCTTGTCCGCAGCATTTAGAAGTGCCAAAGGGCACTGTTTCACCCACAATCCCAAACTCGAAGATGTTCATCAAGTGAGGGTCAGATATGGTCGCCACAGATGGGCCTTGCAAGTTTTTGATCAACTTGAATGGAGAGTGTGGCAAAAAAAAATATTCCAACAGGTATCCAAATCCGGATACTTCCCGTCCCTGCTTTCAACCCAACAAAAGAACATCCGGGAGCACCAATGTTTGGGATTATACTAGGACTAGATCCAAAGAAGTGGTTTTTCAATCAACTGTGACTGCAACTGGACACATTCCATCACAATAGTTTTAATGTGTGTTGTTTTCCCCAAACCCAGCTAGATTGAACATGTTCAATCCTCCAAATCCATCCATTAATACACACTAAGTTACACTAAGCTCTCCCCGGGCTTCTCTTTAAAAAGACACTTCAAACCTCGCCATGAAGCCGGACCTGAGCCGCCGGGGCCAAGTGCCCCACGCCCGGGACATCCACAGCGTCTTCGTTTTGGAGGACGGTGGCGCCCTGGAGGACGGCTGGGAGGAGCCCACGGAGGAAGGCCGAAAGAAACGCTTGGAAGCCGCCAGGCCAGGTTGAAACGGGGCTGCCATGGAGATGGTTAAATGATGTTATAATGATGTTAAATGTATTTAAATGTAGTAAATGGATTGGATATAATATTAGCATTAATATTTTTATATGTACTGCATATATAATTATATAATGATTATTTTTATATGTTATATATATATGTATATGTTTATATATGTATACTGTATATAGAAATAATGATAATAACAATAATAATAACAATAATTATTATTATGATGATGATAATGATGATGATGATAATAACAAAATGAATAATAGTAATAATCATAACAATATATAATTGGAAGATAATTATAGTAATATAGTTTGATATAGCGGTCTAAAACCCCTGTGCCAAGCCGTTAGCTAATCCCATAGCCCATCTAAGTAGGGATACCCTCCGAAATCAAACCTGGCAATGAAAAAGAAATCATGTTTTCGTGTTTATAGATGATTCTCCCATGTAGAGTGGGAATTAGCCATTACCAGAGGGTAAAATGATAACATTACAATTATGATAACCATTGGGTATAATGTATTTCCATGATATTTGGTATTAATATAGTGGATAATATGGGAATATAATCCCCTACCCATGTTACAATTATCGATTGCCCATTACCATTGAGATTGTTGGAAGCTGATTTGGGTGGGGATCGGCAGAGGCTGATAATATGAGGATGTTGGAAATGGGTTGCTTGGAACACTGGGTATAGCTACTATACCCCACATGAAGTAACCCGGCAGCCCTCGATATATCATACAAAGGAACGGTTCACAAGATTTCACAACTATGTTGCTAGTATTATGCTATGTTGCCAAGATGTTGTAGTAATTTCTATTGCTATATGCTAATTAGCCCAAAACAAAAACATCATGTTAGTTATCCCTTAGCTACACCAAATTATACCTCTACTAGTTCCCAGATATACCACAAGATGCCAGATGGACTGCGGCCGCTTGTGAATTGGAAGCCTACTACTTCCGGGGCGACATGAAGCCCCTTCTGCTCTCAGAGACGCTACAGGGGACCAAACTTCTACGACACCTCGCAAAAGGAATGGCTGCTGTGGTTTCTCATGGGGATTATATGGTGATCAACATATAATGATTTCACAGTGATAATAGATCTTAACTATGAAAGATTGTGATTTTAGCATCAACGAATCTTAGATAGGCCATGGTTTGTTAGTCAACTATATATGGTTAGTAGATGTTTAGTTAGTCAACTATATTGTTAGTCAACTATATATGTTAGTCAACTATATATGGTTTATTAGTCAACCATATCATCGGGAGAATTCGTGGTGTACCCAGTTACCCCCGGAAATGCGAATCCCATGAATCCCATGAATCCCATGGCCCCGGAAAGCCACGATTTTCAGCAATTTTCCCATCCTCCAATTGTGGAATGTTAACATAATTTGGTGCTGATCATTTTGTGAAACTATATGTGTTGGGACTGGGATGATTCTTGAGGATTATTTTGTCGCGTTAAGAAGGCAGCAGCACAATCTGACTTATGTTACTGATGTTCATGTATTTTTGTTTGGTTTAGTAGTACGGGAGTGAATCAGCTATGAGCGATATGCCTGAATCATTGTTTGTGACCTGAGAGGTTTTATAGCATGGCCAAGGGGAGTATGCGATACAGGTGCTATACTGAATGGATTGGTTTGAAAGACAGCTTATCTGAAACCCGACATGTAGGTGTATACATGTGTATACTGGTTTTGCGGGTAAGGTGATTACAGTCCTTCTGCAAGAAAAAATAACTGAAAGTGCCATAAAAATAGGCCACAGAAGATGGTTGTCCTTTTGGATGCAAAAATTGTCCTTTGAACCCGGTCTGTTTTGGATGGTTTGTTTAATCTGAGATTTTGGTGGGTACTTGGATGGGCAATGGGCAAGGCGAGAGTCCTGGCTAGTAACTGGGGCTTTCCAATATCACAACAACCATCCATTTATCCATTTACTACTTATCTAACAAAGCATGGCGCTAAGTAGATCGCTTGTCCTTGGCGCACCCGAGGATATGTTGAGATCCGCGAGCCTGGCTCAGATCTGTCAGCTGAAAGTCACTTCGAGTTTCATGCCTTTGCAGCCCTCAGCCAGGTCATTCTGAAGCCGAACCGTCGCACAATTTCCATTCTCATGGCAGGTGATGCCGACAGCGTGGGTGGAAACTTCACCAAGGGTCCAGTGCGAAGTTTCAGTCAGATTTTGTTTTTTCCCTCCCGAATGCCCTTTGCTATTGTATAAAATGATATACCCTGTTCAGAGACAATCCGAAGTTGTACTCTAATTCTTCTTTGTCATTCACTGGTATTGTTAGTTCCCTTTCTTTCATAATCCGCATTCTGGTTATGTTTCTTCAAGCGGAGTTTTCCAACCACCATGTTGACATCCTCAACATCCTATGAGGCCTAGGACATCTCCCTTGGATCGACCTCTTTGAAAGTTTCCATGTTTTTGTTGCACCTTTTCCATTCCATTTACCAGTCAAGGTTACCTTCACACGCACCTAAAACGGAAATCATAGACCTACCATGTGGGGATGGTCTTCAGCACGTCATTACATATAAGGTCATTTGTGAGTTCGATACTTACATAGACGTTTCTTTGTTTGTGCATCCTCTTCAGTGCACGGTTGAGAACCATGTCTGCAAGCCATCTTTTGAAGACCTTATTAGATTTATTAGCGGCTACTAGCGTATGGGTTTTGAAGTGGTTACGAACAGGGATGCGCATCCAATGAGGGCTGCCAACCATTAGAAAAGTTTCCTGGTCCAAGGGGTAGCATTGCGTTGCATCATCATCACCATCACCATCACCATCACCACCACCACCACCACCACCACCATCATCATCATCATCATCGTCATCATCATCATCATCGTCATCGTCATCGTCATCCTTGTCATCATTGTCATCATTGTCATCATTGTCATCCTCATCTTCATCATGGGGCCATCGCTTCAGCGTTTGCACAGCATCAAACCCATCCCTTCTGTTTGCAAGCTTTTCCTAGATCATCCTAGATCTTCATTTCCGTTGTTTGGTTGGTCAAACCTGTTGTTTTTTGTTGAGTGAAACCGCTGCTGGTTAGGCACCCTATTGGGTAGTTTAAAGCCCAGCTGCGAAAAGGATCATGCCCAGCATTGGTTGAATGGAAACTTTGCCGGAAACCACATCTTTGGAGGGCCAAAACCATGGTTTCCAGTAGATCTTCATAGATTTTCCTTTAAGTCAATCCATGGATTTAGGTGATTATATTAACATTGTATAATATTATATATATATGCAATCATTTGCATAGTTTGTTCAATACAAACATGTACAAAAATCATTTTTTGACATGCACACACACACACACTTACCGTTTGTTATTATACATGTAGATCATGGTTATTGATATAATTTGCGATGTTCATACAGATTTCTCATTCCTAGCCCTTCCCTCCATGGCCCAGGTGGACCAGTGGCTTTGGAGGAGGCCTTGTGCCTCCAATCGACCCTGCATTTGTCCCTGCGCCGCGCTGCCAAGTTGGCCGAGCTACAGGGCATCGAGCCTTGGCAGCCTTGGGTCGTGGGAATTGATGGGAATTGATCAACAGGTCATGAAAAATACCATGGTTATTTCTATGATATCATGAAATGGCTATTTCTATGATATTCCATGGTATTTCTATTTATTAGCCAATGAAATAGAAATACCCCCTGGTTATGACTAACAGTTCGCCATGGTATAGATGGCCCATAGAAATAGATTGTTTACAGTTCTTACAAATGGTGGATCTTTCCATGGCAAACTGTTACTCATAACGAGACGCTACCCTTGAGTGAACTAAGAAATGCTGATTTAATGGTGATTTAATGGTGAATCTATATGGATTGTACGATTTTATATGATTTAATGGAAAATTCGTGAGTTAGTCGGATAATCAAGGGATTGGGGCAAATCCTGTGAGAAGCCCTGGCAAAAAAAAGGGAGTTAAACATCAACAATGCGGATATTTGATGATAACATAGGAATTTGCATAATGCGGGTTTATCATCAACAATAGGGATTAACCATGGGAATTATGATTATGTACACCATAAGGTAAACTAAGATAGATGTGGAAAACCCATGGTTTCGCCTTGTAAAATGATTCACAAATCGAGGATGTTCAATTTCTATAGTAGTTTACCTTCCGGTAGTCGACCATATGGACATGGCCCATTTGATCCCATTTGTATACCTATACATTTTTATTTTTTTATTCATCATACATAGATATGTAATTACTGGATTGTTTGACATGTCCAATGGATCATGTTAACTCACTGGGGTGATCACATAACCAGGTGACTTTACTAGTTACTAGTTGCACTGCAGAAGGGGCGGGCTGTGCGGTGATGTTTGTTGGAGACTTGCACCCTCCAGGCGGTTATGGTCGGGTGACGGTCGGGAATTTGGACCTAACATGGCAATGGAACATGCCCCCAAATCAAGACCAATCTACAAAATAGGTGGTTTTCATTTTTTCGAAGGCTGCTTAGCAAATTGCTATCTTTGATTGCATGGTAAAACTTTAGGTGGATGGTAAATTAATGGAACAAATCATGGTGCAAGACATGTGGCAGATAACTACAATCTTTCATAATATTTCCACATACGCAAGGCTGCAGGCTGATTCTCCTGCCTATCCTGTTGCGGAAAAGTCGGTCTCCCGGTATCCCCATTTTTCTCTTGGGATTTGAGCTGGGTAAATTGACTGGCCGGTGTGGGACGAATCTCTTTCGGAGAAATAATTGTGGTTGATATTGGTTGTACTTGTTCGAATTCAGAGCCTTTCTACATGGACTCGTAATGTGGCACAGCATTTTGCCGAGCCGCAGATATACCTGTCACTGTACATGCCCAAGGCTCACTTGGGAGCAAGTCCGAAAAGTCCGCAGAACCCCCCCCCGCGAGTTTCATGTGGGAGAGAATGATCGGATACTGTTTTGTAGGTAGGGAAATTCTTTGATATTTTAGGATATAGGATGGGAAATGATAACTTTGGCATATCATTTGACCACGCACCTCCTCACCTTTGTATGAATAACCCAATCTACCCAATATTAGCCATCGAAACCCATAGAAAACAGCCAATCTATCCACACATATCCACACAACCTATCCTGTGCCAAGGATCCTTACATCCCTGAGCACGGGGCCATTCTCAGTCCCAATGTGCAGATGTTTCGTGCAGGTCCTGAAACAGGTTCCTTGCCGTGACAGTTGCTGTGAAAGTCCAGGGGGTGTGGGAGCCAATTATGTATGTATATATATGAGCTACAGCCAAAATTTACCGTAATGGAAAGTAGTATTGGAGACATCTTTATTTTTTGGAAATTGAGCTGGGGCTTGGAAAACAACAATAATACACTCTTCAAAAAACGATAACATTTGCTATATTCCCAAAACCTGAAAAACGATAATACACACTCTTCAAAAAAATGATGACTTGGAGCTATATACTAAATATTGACAGTGGCCCCATATACATAATTTTCAATAACTATAGATATTTAAGCTGATTAAGTATATTAATCCCCAAGCATATAGGAAAGGCTGCACTAAGTACTATAATTTAGTAGTAGTTTGTTTTTTTTTGGGGGGGGTTGCCACTAGATTTACAATGCTAGTATGGTTGGGAGTTGGTTAAAAAATCATAGTTTATACGTTATATATATTTTTTTTCTACGCACATAGAGGCTGTTCACAGCCGCGGCGTTGCTCGGTGAATTCACGGAGCGTCCGGCACAACATTGGAATCACTGCACAAAATCTGGTCCAATGTAGTCGCCGAACTCCGTCACTGTCAGCTTCTGACAGACGGTGCAAAAAGGGGATGGCAGAACTGTACTATCATCACTCGGAGCTAAACAGGTCGCATTCCAAGTGGTTTCTGCCAAAGCTGCGCAGAGAGCCGGTGGGTATTCTTTCAAATGTGCTGTACGGAATCGCCCACTTTCATCTCTGCCAATTGTTGTGGCCCTGGGATTGTCGGATGTGATGTGCCACTTCCGCAGGGTCTGAATTATGTCAGGAGAGTTGGCCACCAGGAGCGTCGTTGGTTTCCTGCTCGAAGCGCCAAACAAGCCTTGGGCAAACTCGACCTTCTGTACGTTGGGCATGCGCAGCAAAAGGTGGAGGATCGGCAGCTTCCAGATCGAGGGTGCGTCCTCAGCTTCAGGCTCCTGCGGATGCTCAAGCAAGCCCTGGCGCTCCATCATAGCCAGTGCGAAGATCGCCTCAATGCAGAAGCTCAAAAGGACATTTCCTTCCAGAACTGCGTCCATCTCCCTCAGCGCCAGCGAAGCAAGCCCCCATAGTGCATCTGCCGATCGAACTGGACGTGGTGCTCGACGATGGGTCGCTGAATCCACAACCACGGCTCTGGCTTTGGAGAAGGTGCAGCATGGAGGCCCTCCCAAAAAGCCATGCACGTACCCTTGGAAGATATGTGAAAGCCAAAACCCTCGTGTCTCAGGGTCAGCCAAATTCCCATATTTACTGTCAATGACAATATCTAAGGATACAACATAAAGGCTCAACCCTTCTTGTCCTGTGGAGAGCAGCTGCTCAAGAAACCACTGATAGTCTCCTTTTCTGCGTCGACCACTGAAAGCGTGAAGAACGACACGTTCACGTCCAAGGGGTCGCGGAACGGAGGCAGCGGTCCACACAGGGTGTGCTGATTCGCAAAGACGCTCACACCAGTCCTCATAGTGCGCAACTCTGTCCGGACCCGTGTGGTTGTGCTTGCCACTGCAGCCCAAGAAGGGCCAAGTCTCAGGATCGCTTAGACGTCGAAGAAGGTCTTGCATGTTGGGCAATGATTGCCCAAGATCACTCATGATCTCGTCCGTCAAGTTGTGACTGCAATACTGAAGCGTCGCAGTAAAGGCCGTCCAGGAAATCTGCATCTCACTCACAGCCTGTCGAATGGCTGTCTCCAGTTCCTGCAGATTGGACTGTTGGCCAGCTTGGTCAAAGATCAAGGTGATGACTTCTCCACATTCTTCATCAAGAGGGCGTCGCGGTCCTGGTGGAAGACGTGGGCCATGTGCTTGTAGGTGAGGTACCAAACCATCATGTCGCCGCTGCTGCTCCTGGCATTGGCTTGAACCAATACCGGGCACCGGTGAGCATCTGTGTCTGGCTCCATGAAGTTGCTCTCTGCAGGCATGAGATCTGCGCAAATGTGCTTGCATGTTGGCAATGGTATGATACTCCTTGAGGCACACTGGACATTGCGTGCTGTCAAATAAGTACCTCATAGGGTTAATCGATCCATGGACTTTGAAAAAGCGCGCTCCTTCTCCTGCCCGACTGGCACAGCGTAGCTGGCACTTCATGCATCCAAAGAACTGGTTCTCCTGGAACTGTGTCTCATACGCCACTTCTGCTACTGCCAGAGTTCCATGTTCAAGGAGCGCATGAAAGATTCGCTGGTGGAAATCAGCTATCCACGTCTTGTTTTTCCTCTGCTGAATCGCATGCTTGACCCCTCTGTTGACCAGTCGCCGCCAATAGCCGCGGTGGTACTTCAGCAGGTACTCCCACGCAGGAAAATGGTCTGTGGGATCTTGGAGTGAGCTGCTATTTCTCAACTGGCTCCATAGCCAGTGTAAGTCATCTCTCAGCAAAGCCCTCCACCAGCTGTCCTGAAAGAGCAAGCCCCATTCTGCTGCCTGACCACATCCATACAAGGTCCCCAGATACCTCAATCTGGCTCTGCGCAAGAGCTCTGTCGGGGACGGCAGACCCACTTGAGCAAGGATTTGATCGTCACTCACATTGGCATCATGTGGAAGCCGAAGACAACGCTTGTATAGCTTCATGATGCCATTGTGCAACATGGTCTTGGACTTCTCATCCGCAAAATACCATGACTCCATGCCATAGGTAAACGCGCTCAGGACCAACGCCTCAAACATTTCCTGTCGTTTGGAAAATGGGAGGCTAGGGTTGTGCAAGAGAAGTTTGCGGTGTCGGGTCAGCGCTTGATGTGCAACGGCCCATCGCTGCTGAGCTTCACGACCTTGATTGCCAGAATGATGGATGATTCCTCCTAGATGTTTGTACGCACCAACCACATGAACCTCGAAGCTTTTGTGTTCTCCCACCACTGGGAAGATCTGTCCATGTGAGGGCCCGAAGAAGCGTCTGCGCCATGTGCGTGAGCCTCGCCCACGTAGGGCCAGCAGGATCTCAGTCTTGCCTGGCTGCAAGTTCGGGGTCATACCATGATTGCAGCAACATTCCAGAAGGGTGCCAATGATGGGGCCCAGCTTGTCAATCAACTGATCACTGGTGGCAGCAGAGACACATACTGCCAAATCGTCCATCCAATTGGGCCCTAAAAAGGGACGATGAGTGTCTGGGTGGCAATTCTGATCGTAGAGGTGCAGTCCATCAATGACCGGAAAAGCTTCCAAAGCGCCTTGACTCACCAGCTCTTTCTCGACCTCTCTCAAAACCCGACTCCACAAAAATCCAAACACTACGTCCGCGTAACAATCGCCAGGTCTCGACCCGATGGTGGTTTTGACGGAATCCTGCTGATGCCTCAT